TACGCTGCAGTAAAATCAGGACGGATGAGGCGTTTAGGGCCCGTTTCACTGTCAGGAATATTTACTTTCTCTCCCAGTTTGAAATAATGAACACAAACAAAGGTGCCAATGAGGAGATTAATGTTTTTTATTGCAAACTACAGTCATCACAAATGTTGAATTTCTTGGCTTTTCTGTGTGGAGTTTGCATGTTCTCACTGTGTCTGGGTGGATTTTCTCTGATCACTCCCGTTTCTTCACATGCACTATACTGTAGGTCAAATCCTCCAGCTGGAATGTTCCTCAGTATGGCATTAAACATATTTTGCATTCATTCAATTACAACAGTTTTTATTGCTGATTAATACTTTTAAAAACATGCCTTCTTGCCGTGAGTGGGCTCGCCTCTCCTGCAGACCTGACCTGTAATTTGGCCTTGTGACATCACCTGCTTGTCTACACTGAAACAGATTAATGCCATACTGTGGGATATTCCAGGTAAAGCAATAACATTTTCCAGGCAGTTGGCAAACCTCTGTGCACATACACTGCATAAGTATTGCATTTTTTCTGACTTTAAGTAAAACTTTTTCTCTTGGTTTGGGTGTTTCCTGTGACTTATCCTCCAGTGTGACTTATATATTACAATGTTGACAGTGAAGTGGTGAGAGGTTCTAGTCTTGTGTGTGAGTATCTGCTGCTCCTGTTCGTCCTGTACCACTGTCACTTGTTGTTGTGTCTGTGTTGTCTGTTCTGTCTGTATCATGTCAGTCGATTGCACCATTACTTCTGTATCACTGAACAATTTAACACTGAAACAAACTTTTAAACACGACTGAGAAGACTGAACACAAACGAACACAAAAAAACACAAAAAGAAAATCATATTTTGCAGATTACAAGCTGCAAGTCATGAAATCTGCAGCTGAAAATGATAATCGAGCAGCAGAAAGAAAGTTTGGAGTGAGAGAGAAACTTGAGACACCAGGAGGATGCACCATGAAACTTTCCTGAATTCACTGGATGGATGGACAAAGCCTAGACTTCAGTGACACTGAAACCATCCTGTCGAAATTCAGAAAGGCCCGAATAATTCTAACTGGAACTGATGCTGAGTCTGACGACAGCGACACAGAAGAGGAAGCGGCGCTCTGTTTATCTCCGGAGGTTGTGGAGTTGTTCAGAAGTGACACTGAGGATGAAGAATTGAATGGATTTAGTGATTTGGAGTGAGATGGAGAGTTTGGTAAACTTGTTCTGTTCTGTTGTTTATGTTATAGTTTATCTGAAGAACTGTTCATATGTGACGTTAACAGTCTGTTGTTCTCTCTTCTGTTGTTATTACTAGAACCTCAACAGGAAATGTCAGTTCCTGGTCTCTGATTTTATAAAATAAATTTCCCTCAAAAAGTGCAACTTATAGTCCATTGTGACTTATATATGTTTTTTTTTTCTTTTTCATTATGCATTTTTTAGGTGGTGGACTTACACTCATTAACAACTTCCATCCATCCATCCATTTTTGTCCGCTTATCCGGGGCCGGGTCGCGGGGGCAGCAGCCTAAGCAGGGACTCCCAGACTTCCTTCACCCCAGAGATGTACTCCAGCTCCTCCGGGGGGACCCCGAGGTGTTCCCAGGCCAGCTCAGAGACATAGTCCCTCCAGCGTGTCCTGGGTCTTCCCCGGGGCCTCCTCCCGGCGGGACATGCCCGGAACACCTCCAAAGGGAGGCCCCCAGGAGGCATCCGGAACAGATGCCCGAGCCACCTCAACTGGCTCCTCTCGATGTGGAGGAGCAGCGGCTCTACTCCGAGCTCCTCACGTGTGACTGAGCTCCTCACCCTCTCTCTAAGGGAGCGAGCAGCCACCCTGTGGAGGAAACCCATTTCGAGCGCTTGTATCCACGATCTCGTCCTTTCGGTCACTACCCAGAGCTCATGACCAGAGGTGAGAGTAGGAACGAAGACTGACCGGTAAATTGAGAGCTTCACCTTTCGGCTCAGCTCCTCTTCACCACAACGGTCCGATACAGCGACCGCATCACTGCCGAAGCTGCACCAACCCGCCTGTCAATCTCACGTTCCGTCCTTCCCTCACTCGTGAACAAGACCCCGAGATACTTGAACTCCTCCACTTGAGGCATTAGCAACTTATAGTATGAAAAATACGGTAATTAAATTTTTTATTATTTATTTATTATTATCATTATTATTATTATTATTATTATTGTTGTTGTTGTTTTTATAACTTTGTAAATGTGCCAGAGTTCACTAATTTGAGTTAAAACTGGGACAAAACCCAGAACTAAACCAGGACTAGAAAAGTACCAAAGCACGTTTCCATCGGGACTAAACTGGGATCAAACCAGGACCAAGCGAGACAAAGCTGACAGGTGTTGGCTTTCATTGAACTTGGCAAACAGAGTTATTGAAGTTTTATGATCTTTAGAATGCATTTGTGACCTTGTAAATGATGTTAGCTGCATTTTTCACACTCAATAAACAGTTGAAATCACTGTTGTAATCGCTTGTGAATAGCTCCTGCTGCAGTCCTTCTCATCTCAAACTTTCCTCTCCTCGTTTAGTGTGAAATACATTTGAGTTTGGCGTCAGTGAAGGGGCCGTGGTGCGTTCGAAGCTGCTGATGTGTTGGATTTTTGTGCGTCCCTAATTATCTCTGATGGTCGTTAGCGGCTCTGCTGAACGTGCCCTCTGTAAATGACTGCGGGAAACTTAATTACACTACAGCATGTGTTGTTTTATTCTTATAAGTCATATACCACATGTACATATACTTTACTCATATATACACATATACCACATATATACACATACACCACATATACACATATACCACATGTACACATATATCACATATACAACATGTACGCACATGCACATATACAAATATACAACATTTATACACATATACAACATATACAGACATATATCACATATACACATATACCACACACACACCCAAAACATGCTACACAGGCCTCCAGGAAGAACAGTTGATAGCTAAGGTCAAATTAAATACAATCAATCAATGAACCTGCCCAGGGACGATGGTTGGAAATGAGCACTGATGCTACAACCTGATGTACAAACATCTCTCCTGATAATGTTCATGTAAAATTGTGCACTGTCCTTGTCTCATTAAATAAATAAATAAAAATAAATGAAAATAATAATTTAAAAAACATATACACATATACCACACATATGCATATACCACATGTGCATATAAACACATATACTACATGTACACTTACACATATAAACAATACACATATAACATACACATGTACACTTATACACATATACTACCACATATACACATATACCACATGTACACATATACACATATACCACATATTCCCTCATATACATATACACATGTACACATACACAAATATATACCACATACAAAACATGTACCACTGTGAAGACTTTATTGATATAACTCTGTCAATCTCTAAAATGTTTTCTTGCCACGTAGTTTACTCTTTTTAGCATCATGTTCCTCATCAAAACCTGTGCAGGTGAGAACAGCCTGGTGCACCTTTTAAAATGAGGGACATGTTTAAAGCCACAGTATATAGACCTGGATTACATCGATACTACTGATGTGTTTGTCACTCTGAATTCTGTTGTGAACTCAAATATTGCAAAAATCCATCTTGCTGTGCAAAATTACCAGTACAGTGTCCAAAACACATGCACACACATGCACGCTTTTTATTGTTTTGGTTGTGTTTCTTGCACTGAAACATAGTTGTTGTTTTTTTCCTTTGGCTGTAATATTCCACAGCATATGCCAAAGTGTGGAATAAAACTGATCTGTCTCCATGTGAAATGTTCCTTTCTGTTCCCATGGCTGGGCTCATGCTGACTGCCACCTCCAGATTTGAATAAATGCAGCCTACAATAAATAAACAAATAGGCCTATATAAAATAAATAAATATATAAGTCAATTAAAACAAATCATAGTAATCATTCTGCACATCAATAAACACTAATGAGCCTGATTATAATTACACACTTGTGCATTCATTGACACCATTAGCTCCAGATTACCTCCCTCTCTCCGTCTCTGTGCCGTCTCTGTCCCACTCTCTCCCCTTGATCCAGGCTCTTCACTCCACACATAGGCAAAAATAATACATTTGAAGGAAAAGTGTGGCATTAAAAAGTCCATAATAAACTGCACCAAGAAGCACAGGGTATTAAACTTATAACCTTTGTCAAATTAGAGCTGCTCTAACTTTTTAGAGGGGGGTTTGCTACCTGTTTCTCCATGGAGATATGGAGATATTGCTTTATATGGATGATTCAACAATATGGCAATAAACTATCTTGCATTTATTCAATTTAAAAATGTATTCTTATTGTGAACGGGATTGCCTCATCACAGATCTGACCAGTAACTCGGCCTGGAAGCGCCACTTACTTGTCTTAATGGAGATAAAGAAATTTAATATTGAAGTCAAATCAATTAAGCAAAAGACCAACCCTCCACTAGAAATGTTACGCCGTGTTTCACGCAGTGTACCTTTAATGTAAAGCTGAGTAAGAAGAACAAACATTTAGAGCAGTTTTATTCTGGAGGTAAAATCAAAGTGACCAGAAGAAAACATTTGTGAGGAAGCACCGCCATCTAGAGGCTACAATGATGAATTACACAATGATCTACATTCAGAATGAACTGTATTAATATTTAAGAAACTGTATGATTTTACCATTTTACATTGATGGCAATTTACATATATTTTTACAGAAATATTTGTCAAGGCAGTATTTTTGGTGACAATAATTACTTTGCTCTATCCAAAATCTTCTTCCAGGTCCCAGTATGCAATGATTTTATGAAATGTGTTTTATCAATTAGAATTAGACCTACAAATGAAGGACTTCAGCATTCAGAATAATCATTGCACCCCTAAATTCAAAGTGAATTTTATTCCAAAAGCATTTAAAAAGGTAAAGGTGCAAACAAAAGGAAAAAGACAATACCACGTTGTGTTCAAAGCTTTACTCTCGCTTCACACCAAAAAAGTATTTTACAGATGTACAAAGTGACAAATAACAGTTGGAATTTGGACGTTTTAGAGTAAGACCAGGTTTGCAAATAAAAACAGGAGTTTGTTGTTGTACAAAATAGTCTGTATATATACACAGTACAAAAGTCATTCATTCCAGTTGCCAAATCTTTCACAAGTCTCTAAAAACACTATAAAAACAAGCATACGAAAATAAAAATGTCTTTACAGGTGGTCGGGTGGTGGGTCACTCCGATGGTCCACACAGAGAAGTGAGGCGGTTCTGAGGAGAACAAAAACAGGCCAGAGTTATACACTAAAACTAGATAATTTTAAAAGGACAAAATAGTGCACTGTTATGGCTTCCTAGATTACTTTGTGCACCCTTGTCTTGATATTTCAGATTCTACAGTTTAAGATTATAATGGGTAGGTGGAAAAGTAAAAAAATATATATATCTAAAAGATTGGTTGGAGCAAAAATGTAAACACAAACTTGTAGCAGTCGAATGCTCTTCAGTGCCGTCTCGTCCAGCAGAGACAGGTCCACAGAGTCCATCTGACTGGCCAACAGCTGAATACTCTGAACACAACAGAACTACAGTTTAACATCAGAGGAGCAGATGGAGCAGAGGAGAGGGTCCGCACGGAGCGGAGGAGAGGGTCCGCACGGAGCGGAGGAGAGGGTCAGTACAGAGCGGAGGAGAGGGTCAGTACAGAGCGGAGGAGAGGGTCCGCACGGAGCGGAGGAGAGGGTCCGCACGGAGCGGAGGAGAGGGTCCGCACGGAGCGGAGGAGAGGGTCAGTACGGAGCGGAGGAGAGGGTCAGTACGGAGCGGAGGAGAGGGTCCGCACGGAGCGGAGGAGAGGGTCCGCACGGAGCGGAGGAGAGGGTCCGCACGGAGCGGAGGAGAGGGTCAGTACAGAGCGGAGGAGAGGGTCAGTACAGAGCGGAGGAGAGGGTCAGTACAGAGCGGAGGAGAGGGTCAGTACGGACGGAGCGGAGCGGAGAGAGGGTCCGCACGGAGCGGAGGAGAGGGTCAGTACAGAGCGGAGGAGAGGGTCAGTACAGAGCGGAGGAGAGGGTCAGTACAGAGCGGAGGAGAGGGTCCGCACGGAGCGGAGGAGAGGGTCAGTACAGAGCGGAGGAGAGGGTCAGTACAGAGCGGAGGAGAGGGTCAGTACAGAGCGGAGGAGAGGGTCAGTACAGAGCGGAGGAGAGGGTCAGTTGGGGCGACAAGAGGGTCAGATGGAGAACAGGAGAGGATCAAGATGGAGAACAAGAGAGGGTCAGGATGGAGCAGAGGATACAGATTGTTCTCCTCTCACCTCCCCGTTGCCGATAGGGACATTGATGACGATATCTTCGTTGCCCCCGGCGATGGGCGATCCGTTCACAGAGATGCTGTAGACACGCTCTTTGTGTCTGGGGACCCTCACAGCTGGAGTCTTGGGCAGCCTGAGGAGCAGAACAGGACCATTTTTATTATGCGCCTTATCATTGGTGTTTAATTTTAATTGCTCCTGGTGCTACATCACTGTACACAGTGTTTTGTTTAAACAAAAATTCTATATGTAGATTAGAAAGGGGAACGTTACTTTTGTATTAAGTACCGTAAAGCCAAACTTACCTGGGGTCGAAGCGTGGTGTAACGAGAGGAGTGGGGCCCATCATGATGGAAGAGTCCAACATGGTCCTGGCCGGAGTCACCATCGGCTTCCTGTTTGACCTAAAATGAGCAGTAACAGTTAAGAGGGACAAAGGAGGGAAACTGACATATTGGGACTCAAGCTGTTTGTTGATAGTGTCTTTAGAAAGACATCTTATCTGAAAAAGTAAACTTGCTGATGTAATGGAGTTGTGGCATTAACAGTTTATACTATGCAAACTAACATAAGAGAATCTTTATTTTGTCTCACAATGTAATAAGAACAGAAGAAACAAAATATATAGTGGAAAGAAGTAACAAAAACAATATTTCACGATTTAATACTACGTAGAACATAAAACTGCAATTAAGATGATTCATGTAGTAGTTTGGAAATAGTTAAAACTGTTGATTAAAAATGCAGTAGTTTCTTTAAAAGGCATGGAAAATATGGAAGCTTATCATCTGTAAAAAATAGTTTCAAGCCAGACTCTCCATTATAATAAACTTGGTTAAACACACCTCTAGTCAAATGTGTAATCTCATCATAGTGCCCTCACCTGCGGATAGTGGAGTTCTGCTTGTTCACAGACAGGGCCTTTGCTCTTTTGGATGTTGTAGGAGGTTTCTTTGTTGCTCTCGTCTGAATCAAAAGAACAAAAAGTAAAATGAGATGAAACCAAAGTCTGAAAATTGGAAGTTGTGAGAGCTGTGTGTGCTTTGTACCTTTCGAGTGGTGCTCGGAGTCTCGTCCTCTGAACTAGATTTGGAGCTGCCCTTTTTCTTTGAAGCTGTGGCTATAAAAGAAATAGTCCATAATTTTCAACTCAAAATGTGAGACAATTTGACCCATGCACCATGTCCCAACTTTTGATTTGTATATTATACAGGAAGGGGAACTGGAGACAATTATGGCATATACAGCCTTAATTTTCTCAAACACTGTTAAATGCTGGAGCAACACAAACAAGTGGAATAAAAACTCACTTTTCTTGACTGACTGCAGAAGAACAGCATGGTCCTCAGCCACAACACTCTCCACAATGGCCGCCTGCTCTTCTCTCTGAAGAAAAAAAAAAAAAGATCAAACGAGTAAATCATTAAAAAAACAAAACAAAAATGTATAAATAATCTTGAATACACAACAGAACTCTCACCTTCGCATTATCCACTTCTGGCGTTTTTGGCTTATCTGCATCTAAATGGCAAAAAAAAAAAAAGATTAATTAACTCAATAAATTAATCAGAATTTATCATTGTCTCCACAACAGGCTAACACATGGAATTTGTAAAGAAAATATTCAAAAAGACTGAACCGCTTAAAACCATTTAAGTTTAACTGCTCATTTGCAAACAAAATCTGACTATTTCACAAGTCGACACATCTAAAATAATTTGACAGCTGATTCAATACATATTCAAACTGACTATAGTGTTGGATCCAGTTGAGCTGCCTGACGGCTTTGGGCAGTTTGATCAGAGCCATGTTGTATCCATTATCCACGTCCTTCAACAACTGACTCAGCTTCTCTTTCAGCTGCACCACTCGTGTCTTCACTGGAAAAACAAGAGGACAGGTTAGGTTCACAACATGACTTCTGTTTTTATTGCTACTTATGGAGAATTTATTATTACCAGTTATATCTTTCTGTTTGTTATTATAATGTATTTGCCAACCTCAAGATCAGGTGTACAATCATTAAATATACATGTGTCACTCTACAAAAAATATCAAGCCTTTGTTGAGGTGTGTTACGCATTTATTTAAATTGAATATTCTTACTGCAAATGTCCGTGAAAACCGCTTTGAGATATCACTTGTGTGACTGAATCTAAGACATTTTTTGTTGATTTTCTATATCAATATTTCCATGAGTTCTGTGTGAGCCACAGAACAATATCATGATTATATCATTTTCTAACAAAATATACATTATTTTATAATAAATAAAATGGTAGTAATCATGTAATAATATTTTGCTTTTTTTTTTTTTTTTTTCATAATCATGGATGACTAAAACGAACCACATTGCTGAAATGGATAAAAGATATCCTTTGAGAAAAAGTGCATGCCATTTCAGCTATGACACAGAAGTTAATATTGATATTATATCTTTGGCCAAAAGGAAACACTACAATTGTTATTTTGTTTGTCTGATAATTGCAGTGTCCATAGATGATGCCATCAAATACTCACTAGTCAGTTTGGTAATTTCACTTATCTTTTTTTACTCATGTTGGTACTCATTCTGTAAAAGGTTTATATGAGATTCTTTTAGTTGTTTAATGCTAGATACAGAAGGAACATATAACCATTTGGTAGTGTCTGTAGACAATGACTTTAAAGTAATAAAATGTATATATTTTTTTAACTTAATAGATAATTTTACCACATTTTTCAAGAAATCTGAACATTAGAAGTGAGGAGAGTTGTGACAACGCAATAATTTATTAAATTAATATTACCCTCAATAAATAAATTGCATTAATATATGAGACTTGTTTCTTTGGTAAAATGCTCTTCATTCAAATGTAGTGTCCGTAGACAATAGACAGTACCCCATTTTAGCAATCAATGAGAAATTTACTAAATAACCTTGTGCTCCAATATTTTGGATTTAAGTACCAGAAATATCAGAAATTAAGTATCTGTCTGTCTTCATTTCTGACTGTGTTCTGTAAGTCACCGTCCTATCTGTCTGTCTTAAGGCAGATTTATTTATTTTGCAGTGGAACTTACTTGGACGACTGTGGGAATACACAGACATACTAGCATAATACTGTTTAACAAATATTACAGGTCTTTACATTATTTATAAATTAAATACTATTTAAATTGGCTTACCTTCGCTATCAAAATCATCGAGAAAAGCTTCGAGTTTGGCCGTCTTAGGGTTGCTCTTAGGTTGCTTTGTGGTCCTCTTTCTTGGAGCCATGGCTGAAACACAAAACAGTCCATCATAAAGCACAATCCGTTTTATAAATTCGCAGTAGTTGTATAAAAGTATCCAAGTTTCACGTCTCCTGCAAAAAACGCTGTTAATAACAAACTGGAGCTAACGTCGCTAACAGTTAATGCTTTCCGCTTCCTTTGGCCTTTTACGTTAATTGTATTATTGTTTAGACCCGTAAACACTTAGTTTAATACATACAGTTGATTATATTCTTCACATGATGTACACAGGATCAAATATATCTACCTTTATTTGTGTTTTGTCTTCTTTTCTTGAGTTTTCGGCCGCTGCACCGTGCACCTCCTCCTCCGCAGAACAATTTTCAAATCTTGGCGCAGGGCGGAACCAAAGGCCGAGAACAGCCAATAAAAAGAGACGTTCTCCTCACGTCAAGTAGATGCAACTTTTAACCAATCACAGCCCAGGACTTTAATGTTTACGGAAATGAAGCGGAAGTGGAGCTAAGTAACATGGCAGTGGCGTGGACAGCGAGAAAACAATAGAAAAATTACAAGAATTAATCGTTTTGTATATGATTTTTTTTGTAGGAAATCATAAAAATGTCGCAAATAGCAGTAACGCAGCTACACCAGGCGCTTAGAAAGGCTTTCCAGTGTATTGAAAATAACCAAAAGACATGGCGGACGGTGCTGGAGGAGTGCGCTCCTCTCATGGTTTCATTGGGAAACTTAGCGGAGCAGTTTGTGGCGCTTTCTAAAGTGGATCTGTCCAAAACGCCGCTCAAAGTGTTCCCAGATCTGGAGGAAAAACTGAGGTTCAAACTTCACCATGCTACAGACACAGTTATGGGCAAACTCCACGAGAAGCTGTGAGTACAACTAATGTCACACTCTAAGAACTGTTCGAGAGAAAGACTTGTTTCTACTGGTCTTAAAATTATAAGATATTAAATTATCAATTACTTTACCAATAATGAATAATAATTTGCGCATTTGTGCTCATAATGTTACCTCAATAATAGTTTCTCTACCAGGCCAATAACTTAAGAATCACCTGAGAATAAGATATGTATTTACATTAAACTAGTATTGTTATTCTATATCCTGTATTTAAATATGTGGGGCTATCTTAATAATATAAACATAGACATTGTGACAGTGGATTTTGAATATTAAATCGAACTGAAAGTCAAAAAAGAATAAACAGTCTCAGATTTTCATCAGTAATACACTTTATTCGTTAATATGTTCAGAAGCTTTGACTCATTATATTTCATACCTTTATTTTGCTAAATTATGTATTTAAAAAGTCTCAAGTTACAATCGAAATCATCAGTTGACTACTCACATAATCATTAATTGCAGCTTTAGAATTTGGAGTGAAGTGAATCATTAGCATGTGTCCATGTTTAACCAGATCTATCCTCTCTCCCTTAGCTCGTCTCTTCAGTCTGTGCGGGACTCCATCAGTTCTCAGGTTTACTCCGTGTTTCAGATCCAGGAGCAGCTCTCACAGACTCTGGATCTCTCAGTTTTAACAGAACGATCTGCTGCAGCTCCGTCTATCGCTGATATGATGCAGTGGCTCCAGGACGCAGACAGACACTACAGACAACAGTATCCTTAAAACTAAATAATGATGTCATTGTCTACTAGTGTTACACACAACAGGTTTCTTCTAAGTATTCTATTTAGAGCAACATCGGTTCAGGTGATAGAGATCGTTTACCTAGAAAGATTTTGTTTTGTTGTGCCACTGAGAAAAGCATGACATCCATATTGCATACACATAGTTCTCCACAAGCTTAGACTTAGACTTAGGCTTAGACAAACTTTATTGATCAATAAGGGAAATTATTTGGACACAGTAGCTCACATATCACAATATATTATAATAACAAAGAGTAAAATCTATAAATGGGTATAATAAATTGTGAATAAGTAGTAAGAGACTACTTATTTATGGAAACAATATAGTCATATTTTATATGCAATGTAAAACTCAAATATTTAATGATCTAGAGCAGATATGTCAAACTCAGGCCCAGGGGCGTGATATAATTATATCTGATATGATCTTGCATATCAAATATGTATTAGAGCTGGCCCCTCAGCTACAGATAGACTATAGAGACATTATTTATTAAAAATTGTGTTACTATTTTATATTATGCTTGCTTAAGCAAAACTATTACTAAACATTTATGTTAATAAGATAAATAAGAAAAAGTTTAACATTACATATCTCAAAAGAAGCAAAAACATGCAGATGTTGGAGAAATGTTTCAATAAATATTTAGTTTGGACCACGACTTAGTCCCAGTTTTTAATTTTGGCCCTCTGTGAATTTGTTGATCTAGAGGAACTATTTTGTCAAAATAAATTTCCTAGTTTGTTTTTTCAGTTATGGGATGGAAATTGTAATTTGTTTGTGTGTTTTCAGAAGCTCAATGTATTTCAGATTTTTCCTAAGTGCTTGTTCAGGTTTATAAAAAGGAAGACTCTGTTATTGACTCTGAGACCAGACGACTTCTTTCAAATAGAATCAGCTCCTGAAAGATGGAAATCACTGAACTATCCAAATAAAGAGGACAAGATCACTGGTACAAACACAAATTATTTCTTACATTAACACATTTGGAAAACTTTGGAAAACGTTTTCAGAAAAGAACTTAAATATGAGAAGAATAACCTAAATATACAAGAAACAACATTATAACACAGATTTTTTTTTTTTTAAATAGTGTAATATGGGCCTTTTAACTAACAATTCCTCTGTTTGATTTCAGATATGCTGTGTAAAGTGTCCTTCTTCATGGAGTCACAATGAAGACTGTAAAATGGACTTAAGATGGACCCAAATACAGACAAGATGAAATGATCAGAACAAATCCAGTGAAGCTGTATGGATTTTAAAAACACAGAGGAGCATCACTTTTTGACATCAGCAGGTGGAACATTTTGAACTCTTGGGAACGAGATGGACTGTGGGATTACTCAAACATGTATAAATTAACTCTTTTGGTACCACTTTATAATAATTACTACACCTTAATTAGCCTTAATAAATGAGTTAGTTAAATGTTAACTAGTTTCTAAACCTAAACAATTGTGAATAAACGATTTGTTCACTGTATTTGTTCATGCTTTATTAAGGCTATTAAAAGTGCAGATATTATAAAGTTTTCCTGTTTTTTGTGAATTTTTGTGGCCTTTCCAGATTTGGTATTTCATCTCTGAGATAAGTCAATCAGTCAATAACTTTTCATACTTGTTGGATATCTAATTTTGTACATACAATTTAGATTTTAAATAAATCAATACAATAAATTATAAAGCCAAAGTTCTTTAGCAAACCATTTATTGCACAGATATAGAACAGGAAATATACAATACTGTTAAATAATACCAAATAACACTGCAATTTCACAACAAGTGCCATCATAAAAGCCACAGGATAAATAAGTTAAATAGAACTTCTTCAGGCCAGTATGAGAAACATACATTCAATACTCAAATACTTCAGTACTGAGAAGCAACATCATAATTAAATGTGAAATATATAGGTTCATAATTGCGTATATTAACAAATGTAAGATATCAGTGTGTATGTTACAGTCTGAAACAATGCTGACAATATTAGCCTGGCTAGTCCACTGACTTTACTGCTGAGTAAACCCAGACAATTAACAAATCACTTCCATACAGAAACATGACACAAAATAAGACCATAGCAATTTGACCTTCTTTTTTTTAAGCTGTAGGAGCTTTGTCAGCCAAAATAATATTTATTTATATGTATCTAAAATAAAAATACATTGCACTCCATGTGAGAATTATTTCTGGACTTGGACTGCAGTACCGTCAGTAGCCACTAATCAAACACACCTTATTCCTGCTCTTTATGGAGCTCAAGAGTGACTGCCCACCTCCTGGTTCCAGAAATACATTTTCCATTCATTTTTCCCATAAATATTTAGAAAAAAATAAATAAATACAAATTAAGAGTTTAAAGGCCTCAAGTGGAGGAGTTCAAGTATCTTGGGGTCTTGTTCACGAGTGAGGGGAGGATGGAGCGTGAGATTGAGAGGTGGATCAGTGTCAGTAGTGATGCGGTCGCTGTATTGAACCATTGAGGTGAAGAGGGAGCTGGGCCGAAAGGCAAAGCTCTCAATTTACCATCAGTCTCCGTTCCTCCCCTCACCTATGGTCATGAGCTCTGAGTAATGGCCGAAAGGACGGGATCGTGGATGCAAGCGGCCGAAATGAGTTTCCTCCACAGGGTGGCTGGGCGCTCCCTTAGAGATAGGGTGAGGAGCTCAGTCACATGGGAGGAGCTCTGAGTAGAGCTGCTGCTCCTTCATGTCGAGCGGAGCCAGTTGAGGTGGTTCGGGCATCTGTTCCTGGGTGCCTCCCTCGGGAGGTGTTCTGGGCATGTCCCACCGGAAAGAGGCCCTGGGGAAGACCCAAGACACACTGGGGGACCCCAAGGCATTCTCTGGGCTGGCCTGGGAACACCTTGGGGTCCCCCCAGAGGAGCTGGAGGAAGTGTTCGAGGTGAAGGAAGTCTGGGAGTCCCTGCTTAGACTGCTGCCCCTTGACCCGGCCCCGGATAAGTGGAAGAAAATGGATGGATGGTTTAAAGGCATCATGGAGGCTAACCAGATATGAGCCAGAGTGGACTTTAAAGTGGGCGGGACTGTTGAGCTCCATATGCTCCGCCTATTAACCTCTCTTCCTGGGCTGTGATTGGTCACCAACAAAGCAAACTATATGAAACAGTCAGATGGATAACCAGGCCAATGTAACATAAGAAATATCAAAATCAACTTAACTACTTTTCTGTTTGCTATACATACTCTTTCAACGGTACACTGTTGGTCGTGATCGGTTTGGGCACGTCTGGAATTGTCGCCGGCGAATTAGCGAAACTCCTGCCCATGTAGCCTCTCCTGTACCTGCCTCCTTTCTCTATGGCGGGACACGTACTGCTAAGAACCGCTCCGCTAATCATCAAAATCACCGCCGCAGCCCATCCTAAGTAAATCGCCTGGCCCAGCTCGCGTTTGTGCATCACGGGGACGTTCGGGTTGTAGAAATCTTGTACCACCGTGTTTGCCGTCCACGAAATAGGAACTAGCACGCACAATCCGGTTAAAATAAACAAAACACCACCGGATAATGCGATTCCTGCTTTAGCACGCCTGTCATCTCCCGCACACGTCGTACATTTCATGCCACAACACGAGACGGTGCAAGAAAGCCACCCCATGAAGATAGCGATGCACATTAACGCCCTCGCGGCTTGAATGTCGGGTGGCAGCGCTAGCATGGAGTCGTAGGTTTTGCACTGCATGTGGCCCGTGGTTTGGTAGATGCAGTTCATCCAGATGCCCTCCCATTTGATTTCGGAGGTGAGGAGGTTGGGGCCGATGAACGCGGAGACCTTCCACTGGGGTAAAGCCGTGACCGCGATCGCCATGATCCAACCGGTAACCGCGCACGTGAAGCTAATCAGTTGCATTCCAGTGTTCACCATGATGCCAGCAAGTTCGAAAATTTGCTCAGAATTATTTAAAGTAATTAATAGTTTTGTCTGGCAAAGTTTTAGTTTTGTTCAATAAAAAAAAAAAGTCAGAATTTTTTTTTTTTTGTGAAAATTGTGAATTATGTTATAGGTCTAATGTACGGCGTCCTAGTTAGGTCCAAAAATGTTTAACAAATAGCTTCTCTGGGCAAATCGTCCACAAAGAAACAAAATATTTTCAATGAATAATGAAAATGTAAGCCACGGTATTGTGTGACGAGGAATGGTGTCTGTTACAGTAACCAGGTTTAGTCGACAAAAACAAAAAAGGTTAAGTTAGAATGTTGTTAGCATGTTGTATTTTTCCAATAATTAAATTAAAATAAAATAAAATTATTATTCCAGATTTGTTCAGACGTCAGATTTACCAGTTCCAAGGATTGTGTTCCCCAACCTCCTTTATGAAGTCCAAGATATTTGTCCAGGTTCAGAAAGCAGAAAATTGGAAAACAAAATCCAAATGACGAGTGGAGATTTTTCCACGTCCAAAATAATAATAATTTAAAAAATTACAGTAATAAAATAATTGCTCCTCCTTTGATGAGAGTTTGAATATAGTTCGCAAAGTAAATCCACAAGGTTTCTGTCAATTGTTGTTAAAACTAGCAATTTTTAGAAATGTCCAAAACTGTCTTGCAACTGTATTTGGTATATTCCATTCAAAAAAACTTTATATTTCTTGTAGTAAAATTAATTCCTATCTTGAAAAAAGCAAAAACAAAGATGAGAACTTTGAAAGTGAATTCCTGTTTTCCAGTGATGTTTATATCTCCGTCAGTATCCCATAGCAACGGTGTAGAGTCCATCGAATGTCAGCTTGTTAGAATCCATTTTGAAAATATGTCTTTTGAAAATATGATCTTCTTTCTCTCTCTTCTTCTCAAACTCGTTCAGACTTTCTCTTCTTCGTCATCTCTCAGTTTTGTATGAATAATTGAGGGTGCCATAGCGATGCATCGGAGCGCGGAGGGTCCTGTATGGTCCTGCGAGGTCTGAAAGCGGATCTGAACCAGGTTTAGTACAGGTCTAGTCCCGGTCTATGGCCAGTGTAAGGGACACCGGGGCGCTCGTGTTGGTTTACCTGGAATGGGTCAGAACTCAGTAACATGAGATGGACGATTGGAGTCAGAGAGTGTATCCTGACCAGAGCGCTACAAGATGAAACAAATGAAAATAAAGTTACATTTGGCCAAACAATCACAATTATTGTCCATTTTAAATATACAATGTGTAACTTTTCTAGTCGTGGGCCTGTCACAAACTTATCTCTATATGGACATGTTAATGCTTTGCCTCGAATGTTCCACAGTTTGGCATTAAATATATCTACACTACCAGTCAAAAGGTTTAGAACACCCTAATTTTTCCAGTTATTTATTGCAATTCAAGTCCAATGAAGACCTTGAAATGGTACAAAGGTAAGAACTGAACAGACAGAGGTTAAAAAAAAAAGATAGAAGATAAAGAAAAAAAAAAAACACAAGTCCAAGCTCTGCCAAAACGACCTCAGGAAAAAAGAACAAGATGGTGAAGCTTGAAAACATGGAGTGTTCAGCAGCACAGTGTCCAGACTTAAAGCCCATGGAGCTGGTTTGGGATGAACTGGACAGAAGAGTGAAGCAACCTACAAGTGCCACACATTTATGGAACTTCTACAACAGACTTCGGAAGAACTTTCTGAACAATATTTGATTTCTATTGTAAAAAGAACGAGCCACGAGGGTGTTCAGCTGTTGTATTTGCCAAAGGTGGACAATTTGATGAATCAAAAGTTTAGAATAGGTTTGGTCAACAGTAAACATTAACAGTAAAAAAAATGGAAAAAGTGTGGTGTTCTAAAACTTTGGACTGGTAGTGTATTATGCATTCAATCACAGGTGTTTTTATTACTCAGAAAAGGTTGGTTACGCTTTGTGACCTCTAATCAAGTTAGATATCTAGAAAATAAAGCATTCTTAGTGTGAGTGGAGGTGCCGCTCCTCCACAGATCTGACCTGTAACTTGACTTAGCAGCATCAAATACTTGCCTCCATAGTGCTTGATAGGATTAGCACCATGCTGTGGAACATTCCAGGCAAAGAATTGACATCTCCATAGATATAAGCCTTCTTATGGTACGTGCCATCCCTTTTCCACAGATCTGAGCTGTCACTTGCTCATCTCCATACAGGGAGACAAGTTTAATGCCATAGACTACTGTTTGACATTTCAGGCATCTCTATGGAGACGAGAAGGTGGCAGACCCTCTTTGAAAAAAGTTACATGATTTTATTCTCAAAATCTGGTAAAATCTGAAAATATATTACCATTCAAACAATAATCATCCATTCATATAACATTTTAAATATAATATGTTTTAGATTGAATTGACAAATACCTTTTGTTGAAACATAAGAAGCAAGAATTTTTAAATAACAGATAATATTCAGTTATTTTAGCAGTAACATTTGTTGAATCAAATCACAAAAAAGGGTTAAAAACCTCTAGTGAAAATCTTAAATTTTCCTGCCTCGTAAAGTGAAAAACAAAGGTTAAGTCCTTACCCAATTGTTGTCTATGGAAATCAGTTTACATTTCACTACTCATCTTCAAAATCTGCCTCCACAACAGGATACAAAATTCTTTTAAATCCACAAATTTCTTCTAAAAATGTCAAAAAACTCAATAATCCTTCTGTGCTTTGTAATCCTTTCGCTTGAATCGAAACAGTTGTATTTTTCGCTGAGACAAAGCAGGTGTAAATCCTCCTCCTCTGCTCCTCGCTTGTTTCAGATCAAGTGTTGATAGTAAAATGGGGTCCAGGACAGAAGTGGTCCTTGAGATTTCTCCCCTCCCCCCTTCACCAGAAATAATGGTACGATCCAACCACATTAAAACTGTATAGCAAATCTGGACGTTTATATATAGACAAACATACACACATTTTAGCTCCAAACTTGAGCATGTGGTGTGTGTACAAGACAAAACGTGCAGTGGACAGTGGGGCCTCTTGCTGTGCTCAAAGGGAAAAATGTGGTCTGCTTTTGAATGTTTTGTTTTGGGCCTAAATGAATTGAAAGTGATTCGCTGAAAAGACAACAGTTTGTGAAGAGAGAGACGCAGACACAGAGACACAGAGACAGAGAGAGTGGTGTGTTTGTGTTGGAGCTGAGCATAAAAGGGACAAAACTAGTAAAGAAAGAAGTAAAGTTTATCCGACAAAACAAGGAATTTTTTACATTTTATATGTGGATTATAATTTTTAAAAAATCCTATTAAAATGCAGTATTCATGCTTTGTAACTAAATTATTGATAACTCAGCCATGGCATTTTATATAATATGAATTAAAGGTGTTTTGTTTTTTTTGTTTTTTCTGGTAAAGAGTCACCATCTGCTTGTCTTATGAAGATGTTATTGCTGTGTCTCAGAGATGTTCCGAAGTTTGGCATTACACTTCAATCAATCTCACATTTATTCAAACATGTTTAACAAAGACACATCACTTGCTCATTTAATGCTTTACTGTGTAACATTCCAAACAACTCAGTAACATCGCCATGGAGCTGTTTTCTGGGGGACCCTCCAACAGAAAAGTTGTGTGATAAATCTTTCAATATCGGTCAAATGTTTGGGTTTATAGAAATGAAAAATTGGGACTGTTGCCATAGTAATTAATAATTTGATATGAATTATACAGTTATGAGAATGGTCTTTAAAATTGTGCCTTTAATATTGTAAGAAATTGAAAATTTTAGTGGTTAGTTATTCATGCATGATTTCTCTACACCTTGACTCTCCCTCTGCCTGCACAGGACAGAAAGCAATGAAAATTAGGCTAAAAACAATAGCTGCATATTTTCTAGCGTATTCTAGAAGTGATTTGTGCAGTTTGAAAATATTTAGTTTTGTTTTATTCTCCGTGGCCCTCTTCTCTCCCTTGAGCTGTGCACTGTGTATAAATTAAACATTTGTGTAACGCGATCGTCCTCTTCTCTCGTTTACATTACGAGCTCCGTCTCCGTAGAAACAGTCACCCTGGTAACGGCCGTCCACAATGTCCACGGAAACGAGAGGAAATAGGAAGCAGAGTGCATCATGTGACACAAACAGGAAGCACGCATGGAGCAGCTCTGGTATCAGGATTTACAGTCCAGTGGAGGGGTTCAGGTTTCAGTGTGTGAAAAACAGATTTTTTGCAGATTGACCAGAACTTTAAAAACCTCTGAACCTGTGACACATGAAGTAGTTATGGTGATAAGGCCGCACAGTTTGGAGGAGGAAGAGCATTCGAGAGAAGACTGACATCTGAAGTGATAAACTAGACAAGAACTTCATTCATTTCAGAACATTTTTGCAGAGGTCTTAAAATAATAAAGCCGCACATTTGCAATGTACTTTACCTCTCTCAAAGCAGTAGCTCTAATAAAATACTATTGTAGCCACAGCTGCCCTGGGACAAACTGACAGAAATAAGGCTGCCAATCTGCGCCATCTATCACCACTTTCATACTAGGCGGTGAAGTGCCTTGCCTAAGGACAGACAGAGCTTGATTGTTGATTGGAGGGTCACTGCTCTAACCACTGAGCCACTGCCGTCCCAACTGGTAGTGTTGTACTCGAGACCCGTCTTTTTACGGTTTTGGACTCGTCTCAGACTCGAGTGCATTTGGTCTCAGTCTTGTCTCAGTCTCAAAGTCTGACTCTCGATGAGTGTGATCACATTTCAGTACGGCTGGTAAATGTGCAGAGGCTAAATATCACTGCAAAACCAGTAAGAGAATGTAACTGTAAATGTAATGAACTTGAAAAAACTGACTTGATTCACTTTGAAGTTGTTTTCTGCGAAGTGCAAGTGGAAGTGGGATTAAAGAAGAGGTTCTCAAACTGTGAGTGTGTGTTTGTTTGACCTGTTTTAATCTTAAATTAACATAAATCTATCTCCATTCTATCTATGATATAATCTATGATTAATTACAAAAAACATTAATATATGTGCCAAAATAACTGTAAAATACAAATAAACGTGGAAGAAGATGGTCTTGATTTGGTCTTGATGGTCTGTGGTCTTGGTCTCGTCTCGCCTCTCAGGACCCTGTGGTCTCGGACTGGCCTTGGTCTCGATTAGTGCGGTCTTGATTACATGTTACGACCCCCACAAGGTGAGTCCCAACATACTTAAAAAGGACACAGCAGTCAAAATATAGCTCTTTAATTTCTTTTATTTATCTTTGGTTCTTATTTTGATTTATTTTTACGTTAAAAAAAAAAAAAAAAAAAGCCCTCCTGTGCCCGCGCGTAACACTACAACACTACCAACTGGTACAGGAGATTTAGTTCTTTGCAGAGGACTTTATATAATTTAAATAACTGCAGCCTTTGCAATTTTATAATTCCAGCTATTCAAATTGCAATTTTGATTTGACATATGATTTTTTTTTTTCAAATACTATAGCCTTGAAACCTGTTGAATCATTGTATACATGTGCAGTTAATATTGGTAATAAGAAACCCTGACAGTATCACCACTGTTCTATTCTTGAAAAATACAATTTATTACATTTTGAAAATCTAATGATGCAGTATATGCAAATATTAGTTTGCTTTTCAAAATTCTTAATGGTGCTGCTCCTCTGAGGGGTTTCGTCTCATTGATCTCTGTCCCCAACTATAAGAGTGCACTCACCAAATCCTCTTTTTCCTCTGTTACTGTGAGTCAGTGGAATCATTTGCCAATTTGAGATTCAAACCTGCACAGGTTTTCAAACGTTTGCACATGTCACAAAGACGTGGCTCATCTCTAAACAAGTTTGTACACATTACAGATGAGTGAGTTGAGTGATCAGTAGAATGTAGAATGCATGTGCGTGCAGATGTTGAGACTTGATAGATGGTGGAAGAGGGTAAGTGCATGTGCTTGTGTGTCTGGTGATGCTGTTTTAAGAATAGTATTTCAGTAGTATATAAGCGCTTGTGTTGCTTTTTTTTGTATGAAAAGCACTCTATAAATAAAGTTAGATTTGATTTTGATTTCAACACTGTGACCCTAAGTAATATCAGTTTTAGTTTATTTTTGGTCAGTTTCTCTCTATACACTGAATCTGTACTTTTAGTATTTCCACCAACCTGCTCAGGGATTACACGTGTAAATGAACATTCATGTTGTAACCTGCACCAGCATCTCTCCTATGACCTCTCTCTTGGTTAATGTATTGTTGTGCACTGTCCCTGTACAAATAAAAAGCGAACCACCCCATTGCACGTATCACAATCTCAATCTCACCAAGATACTATTTGAGTTTTGTATTAAAATGCATTGAACCTTATCCACTGTAAATAATGTACATATTATACAGATGATATTTATTAATACACGTTAAGACTGTGCAATTAATTGAATTTTGACCATGATTTCGATGTGTGTCAAATGATCTCCAAAGTCATATACTCAGCAATTAAAGCTCAACTGTTTATTTTGGGATTTTTTTATATAAATAAGTATATTTTTATTTATTTTTTAAATATAGAGATCGTAGAACAGCTAGATATATAGTTTATTTTGGATACATATGTTTTTCTATGTCTTAGGTCTTTCATGTTCAAAGTATATTTTATTCAGTTTGTTTTATACGTCGCAAAACTGCTCAGGTTCATATTTTTAGCCTATATTTATTTTCAATTTGAAAGTTTTACGCAAATTATCGATGAAGTGTTTTGGGGTTTTTTTTGAGAGAGAGACAGAGAAAAGCTGAATAAATGCATCGTGCAACTAAAAAATGATCGTTTGAAAAACTGATTTCAGTATTGACCAAAATAATCATGTTTTTTTTCCCCATAATCGAGCAGCCCTAGTATAGTGTCTGTATATAGGGGAGTTTCAGCTGACGTCATTGTTATTAAAAGCCCGCGTTGCATGCTAGGAAATATTTTGGTTGGAGGCAAGAAACACGATAGCGTCAAACACAGTGCGTAACCTCGCGTATTTATCCCCGATAATGGTCAATTCCTGCTGCATTATCGGATGCACAAATAGAAGCACGGAAGAAGGAAAATGTCTTTTTCATATTCTGAGTGAAAAGAACCGCTAACAGTGAATTAAACGGCTTTCAAACATTCACAGAGCAAATGTAGAAGATCCTAACAAACCGTGGACTCCAACAAGTTCAACAACACATCGAGACTCTTGGAGGTTTTCATCTTTTCTGCTGTGAATGGCCCAGGAGTTTCCACCAAGTCATTGTGGATATCACCAAAGTGAATATTTGTCCAGGTAGTTGGTAATTCTGACCAGAAATTTGGTTTCGTCGACACTTTGTCGGGGTTGAAAAGGGTGATTTGTCGTCCATCGATGCTTATGACCAATTTCTGGTCAAATGGTCTTGGGTCCTCTGCCGTTAGAGTGGATAAATAACCGGGATCAATACCCTTTACGTGCTTTCTCGCTCCGTCCGTCATGTTGAATTAGTGTTTCTTGCCGCCGACCAAAATAATTCCCAGCATGCAACGCGCGCTTTTGTCAACAGTGAAACTCAACTATTAGGACATCTGCAAAAGAACTTGTCAACAATAACCACACAGAAAAGTTTATGGGCATAAAATACCAATTTATTACTTTGCACATTAACACAAGAATTCCCTGCAGGCTAAAAAAAATATATGGACATGTCACAGAATAGCAATAAAACACGTGAATGGTCTTCTGCAGCAGGGGGAGGAGCCCAAACTACAAACTCCACCCCCTTTTCCAACAACCAGGAAGAACTCCGCTCCATTCACAAAGTCGGAAAGTTTCATATTTTGGATAGACTTTCTGACATTGTGAGACTATATTGCTATTAGACAACCACACACAGCGTAGAGACCACTAGAGCGGGAAAAACCCAACGAAAAGAAACAAAAAATAAAAGGATTCAAAATTAAAATTCACAATACACAATGTCAAATTACAAATATTATCAAAGTGAGGGGGGATTTTAAAAACAATTCATGCCGTTTTGGGGAGATTTGTGGACGATTTTAAAAAGGTTAAAAAGAGGTGAACTCCGTTTTAGAAGTTAGCTGCTTGAAGGTACAAACGTTTGACCTAAAATGGCCGCCAAGAGTGGTCTTTTAGCGTCAACACAATGGCGGCAAGGCGATTTTGGTCTTTAACGGGTTCGAAAGTGAAGAAAAGTACCTCGTTTTGACAAGAACCGAGCGCAAAAGACGAAAACACACCTTTCCGGGAATAAAATTAGACGCTGGTTTGTTTGTACCTTCAAAATTTCAGACAATTGGTTAAAATACTTGGACAGATATTGCTAAATGCTAAAACGTTTAAATTCATTAGACATTTAAAAACTCCACCTTTTCAAAAAAAACAAACTCCAAAACATTAATTTTCTCATAATATGGATTTTAAAATGTTTTTTCGATTTTATCCTTGGTCAAAAATGACGATACTTGGGCATGCATGCGAGCAATAATATGTTACAATGAACTGAAAAGCTACAGAACTAGTCCACCAAAATGCACATTCCCACTGATTGATACAAGCAAATAAAAATAAAACAAGAAAATATCAAAATAAAAAAATTATTACAGACACAATAGCGAGAATAGACCAACAATAGATCACAATGAGTAGAATTATAGCTTTCTTTTAATACATTTGAAAAAGTGGGGAGATATTGCTTCGTAAATGGTACACGGAGTAATCGTTTTTTTGAATGGAGAAAGAGAAGCCTCGTCCACGATAATGCAATTTAAGTTTAAAAAATTGTCAAATGTTTATGGTTTAATACATACAGTTCCAGATTTATCATTTGGAAAACTGGCGTGTTTAAAAATGTGCCACTACACTATCCAATCCTCGTCATTTAAGATAGAAAACGTATTTCTTATACGCACTTTAAAAAACCTCCTTATTTGGCAATTGGATTAAACAAATCAGACACTAAACACGTCAACAATCACTTGAAGTTGTATTGCGCTGTATAATGATGCTACAGGAGCCTGGATGAGTCAAAAAGAGCACACCGATTACAGAGAAAAGTCAATTAATGGACTCAAATTTTAGCTTTTCATATTGCTACTGTATTTAAATTTTGTTTTACTTGTTAGTACATTTCTAAATCGTGTAAAAAGAACGCCATTTTTGTCTCTCCTCCAAATGTTAACATCCTCTTTCAGGTAACCAAGATTTGACGTCCAATGATGTGACAGTTCATAGTTAAAATACACAATTTCACCACCAGATGTCGCCAAAAACGAATAATTACTACATTAGAATCTTATAAAAGTGCATGACATTGCCGAGAAAGTTTTAACACTCCAATCATCATTTTAAACCTGAATAACCATAACTTCAATATGCTTTTTCACCACTAGATGTCGCCAAACGCTTTAAAACGTCTTTTTTTTTTTTTTAAACCTGAACTGCATTAATGTGAAAATCAGCTTCTTTTTATTCAGCTTAGACCAAACCATTCCCTTTTGAGGTGAATGATTCAAACTAGTGCACTTTTAACATAACTTATTGCATGCATTGCCTGGTCGACCCCTTTAAAAACAAAACAAAAACGAAACGAAACGACAAATTATTTTCTTCTGTCCAAATAAAAGCATTTTTAAAAGCCGCCATGCGCTCACGCCCCCACCAGGACAGTGCCCAAACCTGTTCATACTAAACCTAGAATTTCATAGGCGGTTTATTACAAAGAAGTTTTTAAGTCGGGCGGAGCTACCCTGATGAGGCGTGGGCGGCGGCCGTTTCAGCCTCTCTTTGACCAAAGTCTTACAAATCCTTAAAAACATCCACCTTTTCGACAACGTTTAGGGGTCCGAAACATAGGCAGTGCGTATGCTTAGTCGATCCATTTAGTCCAGTGTGAAAAATATGAACAATACAGTTAAATAGTAGAGAGATTTGAAAGTGAGAAGGAGGATTTTTACAGCGGGGAAGAATGGGAGAGACTTGTGGATACTTTCTTACAGTTGATTTTACGTTTTCAAGAGCAAAATGCCATGTAACACAGCTGAATTGTAGTTTTAAGTGAATTTTAATGCCATTTAGTAGCTGTAAAAATGGGATTAAGTCTGTTATGGCAAAATAGTGGAAATAGCACTGTGAAATTGAAACATTGTAATCAAATTTGTAAATTATAACTGACTGGGTATGGAATATTCTTTTAGCATAATGTGAACTATTTCTCATCAATACATTCACTGATAAAGAAATTATTTGCAAAGTTTGAAAATGCAGGTTTACTGGCAGTGGATTCAACGTCCAAATAATGGCAAATCTAATCAATTTATGTAATATTGTCAATCAACCAAGACTTAGGAAAAAGTAGCTTGTTTCTTAGTTAAGTACAGGTAGACGTTAGAAGCTTATCTGTTTGGCAATTAATACAAAAACTCTTTCAGCTTGCATTTGTGAGAAGGAATATACTGCATATTGAAAGATTTGTAAGATCATTTGTATAAGAGTTATATATAATAATAGTTCATCCAGTTTTGATACAACATAAACAAAAATATCCACCCGTACCCCACATACTCCCCCAGTTAAAATCTCTTAAAGGTCATGGTTATATTTATACACACAGCAATAGAAACCGTTTTAAAAAGTCTAAAAATTCATGTTCAAACTGTTCCAATCAACCATTTTTCTACTGATTGTCCCCAACCTATTTTAGCGACTTTTGGAGTGCTATGCTGTTTTTCGATTTTAAAGCTCCACTGTGTCACTTTTCTGGTGTAAGGGATTTGCCGCCTGGAGTGGTTATTGTTGTCTCTATAATGTTCCACAGTATGGCATTAAACACATCTATCCGGCATGTATTCATAGTCGTTTTATTTACTTAAAAATACCTCAAAAACATTCATTCCAACTGACGCAGATCTGACTTCTGAACTTATCTCAACTGTTCAAAGCCATACTGTGGAACATTGCGGGAAAAGCAATATCAACTCCATCGGGACAAGCACACGGCTGACCCCTGCCAGAAAAGTGACAAAGTGCATATTTAAAGGTCCTATATTATACAAAATTGTCTGTTGTGAGCTTTTAGACATAAAGTTGTTCCCTCCTCAAAAACAGACCTGGAGTTGTGTTTTGTTTCATTTACACTTTAGAGCAGGCATGTCCAAACTATGGCCCGGGGGCCAAATGCGGCCCTCAGACAAATTTTTCTTGGCCCTCAGGCTTCCACGTTCAAATTACCTTGCATCAATTAAAAAAATATTTTTTTCCTGCAAGTTTTTTGAAAATCTACCTTGATAAAGCCAATATTTAATATTTCGTCTGTGATTTTAAGGCTCTTAGCAGAAATAAAGACTGATGGCCCATTCTAACGTGTTAAATATGCACATATTTCAATTATTTCCTGTATTGAGCACCAGTCTATGGCCCTTGATCGGCCCTCTGCTTCATCTGTGTTTACATATGTGGCCCTTTATGAAAAAAGTTTGGACACCCCTGCTTTAGAGTAACCCTTTATTATTAGTCTATCTTCACCTCGAAAGCTCAAAATGCTCTGTTCCACCTTGTCATGTAGTGGTAATTTTTAAGTTAACCAGGGCTGAAATCCTCCATGTCAAGTCAGAGAGAAGAACTCAGCCTAAATCTGCAGAGTTTGTGTTAAACGTGTGAATGAAACAAAACAACTCCAGGTCTGCTTGTGATGAGAAAATAAAACTAATCAGAAAATAGCATAATATAGGCTCTTTAACTTCAACGACCATTTTGTCCAACGAATAAAAGCCCTCTACTTTTCGACCTTGCAAAAAACATAATTTTCAATCGTTAAAAACCAACTGGCTTTTTGTAAAATGTCATCACAATATTATAACATTGACAACAAGACAACATCAATGGTAAACTACTATCTCTAAACAGGATTTTAAAACCACAAAAACATTTTATTATATTAAAACCTTTACAAATCTGCTTTCTTGATTGGTTAAGTATAAATGCATAAAGTTACAGATTGTGAGTGCCCTCTGCTTTGCCGTCTAAATAGCGCCCTCTTGCGTTCAGTGCAATGAATTGACCAGAAATCGCATCAACAAAACAAAAACAAAAAAGAGAGAGAGACCTATAATTTGCTAATTTTAAGTCTACAACTAAATAAACAAACATCCAGCGGTGTAAAATATAAGTTTAAGGTCCAAAGAATTTAAGCCCAAAACTTTATACAAGAAAAAGTTGGGTTTATTTAAGACCATAATGCATTTTATATAGGTCCCAACGCAGACCACTGATAGCTACACAAAATGACCCGTTATTTCACTTCAAAATACATGCGTTTACATTTTAAAAGTGATTTGAAAAGGAGTTGTGGCTCTGAAAAGTTCCGAGAAAATGCTAGGTTTTGTGCCCATATGCTATTAAAATGTAAAGTAATGTATTTTGAATTGTAAAGCAAAGTTTCCACCAAGTAAAATGGTATGGTTCAGTGTATAGGTTTATGAAGGGAGATAAAAAAAAAAAAAAAGTACTTAAATATACATGATTAACATGATAAACATTGATTTTCCAAAACTGCTATAAAACAAAACAGTATTCAAATTCATCTTATCTAACTTTAATAAAGAGATATTGACAAGAATTATTTTGACTAAATTGGAATGAGTTATATCCCCTTTAAATTAGGATTGAAAAGATATTTTACTATCAACAAACTAAAGCCTCGATTTTGGAATTTTTTATGTTAAAAGTAAATATCAGGGAGATTTTTCCAACAAGATTTAAATGGTAAATTACACCACAGCAGCCAAGTTTTACAAAATCCAAAATATTTGTATTTTAATGCTGCAAATTTTGAAACAATGCATTATTCACGATTTTAAATCTTGTTGAAAATCTCAAAACCAAATTATAATCAATAATGCATTAGCTGCTCCTGTGAGGTTTAACACTGTAATAGCAAAGTGTGGGTGATCACCACATAAAACTGAATCATATCATAAAACTTGGTGGGAAAAAAGTAAATTGTCTAATATTTTGTAAAATTTTGGGATAATTTGCAACCGTTTACGTTCATATATTAGCGCATAGTTACACGTTTGGAGTGGCAGACAGGAGCGATAATAGGCTTTGTCGTCGATGCTTCTGTCTGCTCGCCAGTGCAGTGTTTTGACTTTAAAAAACAAAAAGTTTAAATTTCCCAAAATATTAGCCAAAATTTGCCAAATGGGTCGCTACACCAAACCGCGCCAACCGAGTCCAAAAGCTCATACGTTTAATAGAATATATGCTATACTGTATTGTAGTTGTATGTGTGATTTTATAAAAGGAAAACTCATTTACAGCAGTTCTATCGCCTCCAAAAATCCAATATTTTTTTTTTTTTTTTACAATTCAGTGGCCTGCCATGAAGAAAAAAAAAACAACTCTACACAACCATTCGAATACAGCAGTGCGTGGATATATGATGCCTTATTTACAATGATAACGACGCACACATTAAACTGTCAATCTCACGACGAAGAGGGTTAAAATAGGCTAAAGGAGCTAGCATGTCGGGCGTGAAAACCCAAGTTCACCTCGCTTGTCAATATTGAAGTTAAAACACCATTAAAAAGGAAAAAATATATCGTTTTAAAATCCCTGCCCACTACCACCCCGCCAACTTACAACCCGATAAAACTTGTTAGATTTCTGCCCCGTTTCAGAGCATTTGAGGTAAGTGAGAGAAGTCCTGGTTTAGCTTGGGCGAGCTGTGAAGCCGCTAAAAATAAAACTTACAAAACTTAAGAGTGCAGACATTCAAATAGAAAAAAATATAATTAAATGGCTCGATTGTAAATAAAAGTTGTGTTGATTTGTGCATTGGAAACCATGTATATATATTTATATATATTTATAGATGTGTATATTCAGGCTTCGCAGTGCTTGATTGCTGGTTTGACAAAAAGTTAAGGATAAAAGTGCGGCGGATTTTTAAGAACGCTGGTTGGAGATTGTTCGAAAGCCGCAAAAGGATTGAAAGGAAATTATTGAAAAAGAGAGGGGGAGGAAAAAACAGGTAAGTAAAAGAAGAGTCCATAGAAAGAGGGAGAGAGACGAGAGAGGGGGAGATCAGGCGAAGTACATGGTGTGTTGGGTGTCGTAGTGGATCTGAACAGCTTTGGCCAAGGCCTGAGGGTCCCGACCGTTACTCTGTCCAGACACATGGCTCCCCTCCGCACTGAAAACAACAGAGAGAAATAAAGAGTGTCATACACTTCAAATTTTTCAAATGCCATCTGACAATTTGCTGAATGTGTATCAAAAGAAATCATCCAGCACAGACATGTCAAACTCAGGCTTGGGGGCCAAATTTGGCCCACAATATAATTATATTTGACCCATGAGATCATATCAAATCTGGATTAGATCTGGCCCACCGGCTACAGATAAACTATAGAGACATTATTTATTAAAATGTTGTTATTATTTTATATGATGCTTGTTCTAAATTCAATGTTTCAACAAAACGATTATTAAACATTTATTTTAATAAGAAAAGGTTTAACATTACATATCTCGAAAGAGAAAACACGCAGATGTTGCTGAAATTTTTCAATAAATAGATTAGCTCACAATATGGTCCCAGTTTTTAATTTTGGAATCTGTGAATTTGAGTTTGACCCCCTGATCTAGCAGGTAATTCTCATTTCAAGAATTCTCAAAATTAAACACTTTTCCAACCCTGAAATTAAAGGTGGGTAGTGTAGCCTAAACTGTCCTCCAGTAAGAGTAAAAAGTATATTTGGGGAAACTACCACTTGAGTCAGAATAACTGTAAAATGACTGCCTCATAGTTTCAATAGGAGGAGCAACACATTAACATTTTATTTATAATATACTTGAGATTTTAAACATTGCCAAATGTGTGAATATAAAATGGATCCACAAAGTATTTTTAGGGGTTATACAATTTATAACTTTAAATGCAATTTTAAAAAACATACTCTTGCTTGGAATCTCATTTACAAATTGTTCAAAACCTGAAAACTGAACTTTGGGAGGTCACCCCTTCCCTCAGGCAGCTTGAAGTCTGCTCTGAAAAATTCCCCATTCATCTGTTTCCATAGACTTTGAAAAATGGATCAAAAGCAGACAAAAGACAGAGGCTAACCATCCATGTGTGAACTAACCTTAATAGAAAAAAGGGCTATATTTTTAAGTAAAGAACACGTGTTGTCTGACCTGTCGTGGTCCTTGTCGACGAGGTGGTAGCGGGCCCTGAATGCCACGAGGCGGGCGTAGTAGGCGGGCGCAGGGATGGACACTGAGCGCGTGCATCGCACGTATGTGTGGCACAGCTGGTACGTGAGGAGCTGCAGCTCATCTGCAGTAAAACAGTTATCATCCCACAGCACGTGGTAGTGAGAGGGACGACTCGTGCCCTGAGAGACGGGAGAGAGGGTTAGTCTCTAACCCCGAAGGTTAGTCATCCTTCAGTAACTAGCTGTTGGTGGGCTGAACCAATCACAACAAATGGATTCTCATGATTATGTGAAATCACAAATAATGCAAGAATTCATCTTGCTGCGCAAGGTTAGCGTCTGAATGCCCAGAGAAAACAAACTCATACACAGAGCTTGAAAGCATGAATGAAGCAAAAATCCAGGTATATTTTTGGTAATATACAGAATCAACATAATAACATGGTTAAAAGTTCAAAAAAGCAAATGTTTTTCTCACCTGGATGCCTGCATGACTGCACAGATAGAAGTCAAACTCAGATGGATGTGTGATGGTGCTGTCCACTGTTGTTCCCGCTGGGACATTTCCACTCTTCCCAACCTGCATTCAGTTTAAATTCACCAAATGTAATTGTTATATAAAAATGATAACAAAGCTAAAATGGCAAAGAGTAGTGTTTTCCTGACCCTCTCGGCCTTGTCAGAGCAGAAGAGTCTCGTGTGGTGCCTCTTCTGAACCACGATGTAGGTGATCCCTGGTCGATAATCCTCCTCTAAACTGATGCAGGCTTTTCTGATGGCAATGAGCTCTGGCCACGCAACCTGGAAATACAAGGTACTTTTAAGCATGATTCTAAAGTACAAAACCAGGACATTTCACTTTAAAAGCCACTTTTATTAATAAAGTCTAAAAAAATTATTTCACAGTAGGTCTGAAGAACATGAACTACATAATGCAACAGCCTTTTACAAAGGAGCAATCTAAAACAAAATAATAACCCAATAACAGAACTAAAAGGCTAGAAATGACCATCAATAGTTGAATATGGATCACAAAAAAATGCATTTTAAACCTTTAGACACACTGGTTGGACATAAATACAAAAACCTTTTATGCTGTCACCTGTTTCATCTGCCCCTCGGACACGCCTCCTCTGTAGTAGATGATTCTCGTTGGTTTGAATCGAGTGGATTTGTAAAACTGGATGAGCAGCTCTCGCACCATGTTGGTCAGGTCCTGGATCACCTCCTGACTGAACAGCTGCTCCTGGAAAACAAAATACAAACATGTATAAGATACTGGCTCAGAGGTTAAAGCACCTATCCATCAACCTGAAGACCAGAGGTTTGACTCCTCCTTTACTAAGATTGAGGTGTCCTTAGGCAAGACACTTCACCCACATTACTACTATGAATGTGGCGTGTGAGTGAGTTGGTGGCAGTCAGAGGGGCTGATGGAGCAGATTGACAGCCTTGCTTCTGTCACTCTGCCCCAGTTAGTTTAGTATGTTCAAATTAATCATGGCGCATGTTTGGGTCAATAATATAATGGGACAAAAGACAACAAATACACACTTAGAAACTTTTAAAATGCCTGTGTTTTAAAGTAGTTCTTATATTTGTACTACATAAATAACATATCAATATACAAATTTGAAAGCTTTGTTGCAATAGACATGTCCCATATAAAAGTACCATGTAGTGCTTGAATAAAAGAATAGTTTTTACCGCACTGGGAGCATTTACCCCAGACATGTCCTGTCGGGAGGTCTGGACTCGGACGGTGGCGCAGTATCGACTCGGATGCCCATCCATGCTCCCGACCACAGCTGCGATCGAAGGCTTCTTCCCGTCACCAGCAGGAGGGTGTGTGACGTCTGCCCCCAGGAAGATCACAGGCTGCTGGAACACTGACGGTCTAAGAGAGGGAGGGCAGGGCTCAAAGTTTCCATTTTTCAATTTCAACAAATGTTCAGTTGGTGGCAGCTGCTGTTCATTAATTCACAGCCCAGTTAAAAAAAAAAAAAAGTCTTAATAATAAACACACAAAAGCAGCTCCTTTAGGGTCAAAATAAGACTGCGCACCATTTGCATCTCGTTATGAAACATTTTTATAATCCACAAACTGGGAAGTAATACTTGTGTACTTTGTTACCATGTCAGTTGTTGTTAACAGTGACAGTAAATTGCCACTGTGGTCTCTTAAGAGTTATGAAGTCCGTGTAAACTCTATGCTTAATTATAAATATAATAAAAATGCTAGGAATAGGTTAGGAAAGTGAAAAAAACTTCAAACCTCGGCAAACCTGTTTAAAATTAACTTTTATGCTTTTGAAACAAACATGCGTCGCCTTTAACTTGTGTTCTTGTGCGCTTAAACACATTGGTGGTGTCTCACCTCTGATGTGGGACCAGGACGTTGTTGATTCCTCCGAGTTTGGCGTTGATTTTGAGACAGAGGTTGGACAGAGTCTGAGGAGACGTCTTCACCACATTCTTCACCTGGACACACTGAGTGGCCATCCCCAACAGAGTGTCTCCAACACGCTTCACCTCAGCTACAGGGGCAAGAGGGAAAGATAAACAGATGTCTTTTTTTTTTTAGGGTTGTGCAAAGTACTATAATAATTTTAGCAATGGGCTGTGTGCAATACTTATACACTGGCACCTTAACTAAACAAGGCAGTGTGCAATTTTGATCAAATAATCTAACATCCTTTAGTTAACCTGTGTCTGTGATCTTGTGACTGATCAGCTCTTTATGTCGGTCTATTTGTATTATTGTATTGTCTGTCTGGATGTATTTGCTTTATGATTACATCAACCTGTCTAGGGACAGGAGATGGAAATTAGCCTTGGGCTACAATCATATTTACATATCATGTATATGTTCATTAATATGTTTTGTCCCCATTTCAAATAAATACATAAAATAAAAAAAATTATTTGAATTTGCCAATCAAATGAGAAAACAATTCAAAAAGTAGCAAAAATAGCCAAAGACTTGTGTTAAATTAAATATACAGATTTGAAAGTGGAAAAAAAAGAAACAGAAGTTTATCCACTGCCGTTCTCACCATACACAGGCGTTTTCCCAGGCAGAATGACCACTATGAGCTGCAGACCCACATAGGACATCTTGAGGTGTTTGAACATTGGCTCCACGCTGTCTGCTCCCTGGGCATATTTACAGAAACACGGCTGGCCCTGGATCGGCATCCCAGCATCCTTTGAGATCTTTCTTAGCTGGTCTGTGAAACTCCTGCGTAAGAACAATGAAATGTGGTTCAACCTGAATGAATAATTGTGTTTTTCATATTTGTTTCGGGTTATTATAGTCATGAATTCTGCTTTCACTCCTAACATTAAATTTCTTTCATTATTAGCCAGACCAGACTGACATCTTTCTAAAGCATTAGAGAAGTGTCTATTGTGGATCCCAGGCAAATCACTTACCAGCACCCTGTCAGAAGGAACTACTTGTGTGGGTGGTGAAATGTATTCACTTTTTGTCTTTTTGGACAACTGAGGGACAACACAGACATTTATGTATAATGCACTCACTTGAGCAGGTCTTCTCTGCACTGTTTCTGAGGGGCGAAGCAGGCCACAGCCCACACCTTGATCTCGATGCCCGCATAGAACTGCTTCCCTCTCATGTCCCACACGCCCTGGTTTGGAGTCGCTACAGTTTTGTTCTGTGGACAGAGACCCTAAACCCTTAGTCAACCCCCCAGATTCACCCCCCGATACACAAGACACAAATATTTCACATTGTGGATGGGATAAGAACTTGTGTATGGGGATGTCACCATATCAAATTTTGGTGTTAAAGGGGCCTATGACAAGTTAGATGACTCATTTTACATTTTTTCCCGAACCATTTTAACCTGGAGTTGTGTTTTGTTTCATTCTCACATGTTTAACACACAAACCAATACACAAATAAATATTATAGGCTGAGTTCTTCTAACAGAAAACATGCCGTTTCACCTTGTGATATCAGGTGGGAATAAATGAAGTGCTCCACTGTGTTTTTAAAATCCACACATCTTCACCAGAATCATTTGGATCATTCCAGCTCTGGGATTTCCAATCTCTACTAAACAAAAGGTAAAAGGTAACTGTTAACTTAAAAAAAAAAAAAAAAAAAACTAGTGCTTAAGGACATCACAGGGTGGAACAGAGCATTTTGGAGATATAGACAGACTAATAATAAAAGGGTTACTCAAACATTTGACACAACTCCAGGTCTGTTTTTGAGGAGGTAAGAGCATTATAACATGACTTAAAGCTCACATGAGTAAATTTTGTGTAATAGAGGACCTTTAATTACACAAAAATGATGTAAAAATCTTGTGATGTGTTGCGTCTTGTCTTATGGGAAGCATGTCTCATCCCATCCCCATTAGACATCATATAATCAGGGCTGCCAGGCTTTGGAGGAATTTTTCAGTTCCAATTCCAACAAATTGGGATTACTTTGGACTCAGAGATTCAAATGCCAAGTTTAGAAAAGACAAAAAGTTAAAGCATGGCACCCTTAAACATTTGCAAAGAACAAGCTTTTTATACGACCATATAGTAGCAATGCCACTGTACTGCCTGATCAGTAACAATACATCCAACTAACTTAGATGCCAGATTTTTTTTTTCCAAACGTGATTATTTGTAAACTTCACTACAATTCAGGGTTTCACAATTTCAGAAATTCACTATTGGAAAAAAATAATCTGTATCCCAAGATGGACTTTGATTTTATTGCAAAACAGACAAGATGCCACTGAGTACATGTGACAAATGCAGTAATTAACCAATGGTACATCTTGACTTGTTTACTTAGGAAAACATTTTATTACACTTTCTGGCCATATAACAGCAAAATAATTATTTTAATGTATATGACCTTTGTCAAAAATAGAGCAACCACACTTCAATTACAAAGGCCTAGTTAAATCCAATATTGCATTGAGTAGAATGGCATTTTGTAATTTTTTTTTTGGTGAGATTGTCTGACCAAGCAGCATGTGACAGTCTAAGTATAAAACACCATTAGCTGAAAGACTGTAGTTGTTTAGATGAAGCATCCTGAAGAAAAGCATCACAAGACTCAGAGTCCCTAGCAGGCAGTGTGCCCAAGTGCAGATAAACTGCAATACAAAAACTCTGTTATTCCAATTTGTGACAGTATTTAATAACCAACAGAGGCTACAGTAATAGTATAACAATTCATTTTTCTATAGGCTGGTTTAAACATTTAATGAAGACAACCAAACAAAACATTTCAAAATGCAAAGTTAGTTCTTTTTAGGTAAATCTTATTGACTTTGAATAAGTCTTCAAATTCCAATTTGACTTTGATGTTTGTTTTGTTTTCAAAAGATTGAGAGTCTTGTTATTCTTTATAGCAGCAGTGCATTCACATTTCCCTCAGACACAGCATCCTCAAACCTCAAATCAACCTCGTCATTACAAATGATGGAAAATCAAAAAGATCATAGACTATGACTACATCAAATTGCTGACAACTAAGGCAGCAACAATAATAATCCTGAGTATCTGACCAAAAAATAATCAATCGTACTTTAATCATTATAATAGTTATCTCTTATCTACTAGTTTTATTTATCACAAAGTGCTGTTATTAAAGCCACAGTATTGCACTTTAAGTTTTAATGAATTTGACTAAAAAGTTTGGATTTTGGTCATGTTCATTGCTTTCAAAAATGTAAAAAAAAAAAAAAAAGTATGCTTACAGTGAGTGGGCTTGAGTCTCCACAAACCTGACTCTACTTCAGGGCCTGCTCCTGCTCATTTTCATGGACATGTTGTTCCATTGGCTATAATCTTCCACAGTATGACATAAAACCTCTATGTCCATGGAAGTATGACTAACTTTCAATTACCAAGGAATCATACAGGTGATCGTAACTTACTGAAACATTACATCAAAATGACAAAATAGACTAAACAATTTCAGATTTTTATTAGCATTACATTTTTTATAATCAGTCACCGAATTTCAACCTGTTTTTGGTAACAAAAATCTCTGAAGAATTTCTAAAAATCTCAATGAAGAATAAAATAATTTGACCAGTTGAAAATGTGTTAAAATTACAGTTTGTTGCAGCCCTATTGAGACATGAATTACAGATTTTTAAGAAGTTTTGCAAATTCACAAATGTAATAGGTTGATTTGAGATTCTGTGTGATTCTCCGCAGCTCAAGTCTTATCTAGTTCAACTCATTCAAACTGGATGAGTTACAAAATATACAAGATCATTCATAAGACAACTTTCAAATTTGATCATTCTTTTTCAATTTTATACATTTTTAAACAGATTTGAGTGAACTGAAAAAGGTCATTCACTGCAGAGATTCAAAGGATTACAGCACAAAGAGACTCCAGGTTAAGCATAATGACTAATATACTAAGTATATGAAAAATTATGTGATACTGGATAAGTATGTTTTGTATTGTGATTAGTGCTGTCATGTGATAAAAAAAAATTGAGAGATTAATTATGATCTGTAATTAATTAATCTAATCTCTTTTTAAGCTCACCTAAAAATTGCTGAGAAAAGCCTTCAATTTGAGGTATTTTCATTTAAATTCATTATTACATTATTGTGGCAGATCAAAAGACTGATATAGATAAAAAAAAAAGTGACTTTATAAAGTCATTTATTGTTTAACAAATCTCTCCAAATTGGCTGTTGAGCCCAAGTCTCCATGAATAAGAAACTGTTTGCTGTAAAGTAGCAAAGATGAGCATATCTGAACTTTATAAAGTCATTTATTGTTTAACAAACTTTAACAGATGCAGTCACTTACATTCCACAGTATCATCATTATTATTACTATTACTAATCTGCAGTGTTGGGAAGGTGACTTTTAAAATGTATTCCCCTACAGATTACAGATTTCATATCCCAAAATGTAGTTTGTAACTTAATCAATTTAATTACTTAAAGTGAGTAATGTAATCTGAATAATCTGGATTACTTGATATTGTCATGCTTTTTAAAACTACATGAATGTAGAAACCGCATCCTGCAAATGTTGTTCTTGTTTGTTCTCTTCAGATTGGCTGTTGAGCCCAAGTCTCCATGAATAAGAAACTGTTTGCTGTAAAGTAGCAAAGACGAGGAAATCTGAACATAATAACTTTTGTCTACTTAAAGACAATAAAAAGTCCAGTCTTTCCTTAACCATATTAAAAATATTATTGATAGAGAAATGCTTTATATATGAGATCACTGGTTTTAGTCCTGGTTTAGACCTGCTTTAGACCTACTTTAGACCTACTTTAGACCTACTTTAGACCTACTTTAGTCCTACTTTAGTCCTACTTTAGTCCTACTTTAGTCCTACTTTAGTCCTACTTTAGTCCTGGTTTTAGTCCTGGTTTTAGTCCTGGTTTTAGTCCTGGTTTTAGTCCTGGTTTATGTCCTGGTTTATGTCCTGGACTGGGTTAGTCCTGGTTTTAGTCTTGGTGTTAGTTCTGGTTTAGAGGCGCACAGGAGGAAGTGCGGTTTACGCAGCGAAGTGAGAAAACGTACACGGTGCACGGGAGGACAGCGATGTCCGCGCAGTAACTACGGAAGGAAACGTGGTCCGCGCGTTCTCAGGTTAATGACGATGATGAAGGTGTGTGTTTGTGTGTGTGTTTGTGTTTGTGTGCGTGTCCCCTCATGTGGCAGGTCACTATAGGACAGTAGTGCAGACATCAGGAGTCTATGCAGGTTGTTTTCACCAGTGACATTTAAGTTGTAGGCGATTTTATATTTCACATCGGGAAAATAATTTCCAAGACACGAATGTGTTTTTACCTGTGCACTGCTGCCTCTGTTCTACTGGCTCTTCCACCTCGTCCATTGTGAGACTGACTCCGCCAACGTTAACATGACGTTTACGTCGCTCTTACTGTGCGCGTTTTGTGTGGATTTCCGGCAATGAGTGGAATTACCAAAATAAAAAAAAATTATAAATGTGTTTTTTGTGTGTGTGTTGTTGTCCCAACAACACATAAAAACAGGTTTTATAATAAAGCAACTCGCATACAGAAACAGTAACGTTAAGAGATTAAAAATGAGATTAACGCGATTAAAAAACATAACGCGCTAAATATGACTAATTAATTAATCGCAATTAACGCAATAATTTGACACCCCTAATTGTGATCACTATTTTAATCCACAGTTAATCAGAAATGTGTTATATGTTTAGATTCAAGTTTTAGATTATCTGATAATGAAAACATCATTGTGTTGAATTACTTCTTTGACACAGACTATGTTCCCTATGTAACCCTGGAGCTCTGCTTGTGCCCTGTGCCTCTGTAGCGCCCCCTCCCTGTGCCACCCCCCAATGCAGCCCCGGTCCCAGTACTCACCCTGCCACAGTCCCGCCCAGAGTCAGTACTCACCCTCCCCCCATACTGCAGCATGGGTGCGGGGAGGACACGGCCCGTCACTTCTGTCATATCGTTATGAACCACAATACCAAACTCTTTCAGGTACGGGTCCGGACCCCCAACCATACTGTTACTTTTGACCTGAGAAGAAAACAAGAATGTATATTGAAAAGAGTGTAATAAAAAGTGAAAACACTAATTTGGTGTAAAGCCCTCTTTACAAGACTACAACTAATAATTTCTCATACTTCAGATGACTTATTTATGTGCAGTGCCGTCACTCACCAGTCGGCTGATCTCCTCTTGCCGGTCGGGGGCAGATCGAGCTGTGGCTTTGATCATTGTTGAGGTTTGGTTATCGGTCAGTTTCTTTATACAGCGCTGGCCTGCCACTATGTTACAGACCTGCAATACAAAATATATTTCAATCAGTCATCTTCCAAAAAAACTCCACACATTTTAAATGTTGTGTTAGAGGTGGAGCTATTGACTAAAAGATCATTATCAGAATGGACTGGATTTACAAAATAGTCTTTCAAGACATCCAAAGCACACTGAACTGCATTATTCATTCTCTCGACACTCGATGGTGGTAAACTACTATTGTAGTCACAGCTGCCCTGGGACAGACAGAAGTAAGGCTGCTAATCTGTGGCATTGGCCCCTTCAACCACAATTTTAAAATGTTACAATTGCCCATTTCTACTTATACATTTACTCAAATAAGGCTTTCAATTTTGTCAATATATCACCCACCTCTAATTAAAAATATAAATCTTAATTTGGCACACAGTTTCTACTTGCACAATAGTCATATTGTGCAAGTTGTGTACAAGTATATAAGCAATTCAATAAGATGCGCAATTGCCTTTAATAAATAAAATCCAAACACCAAATACTGCATATATGCAAATGAAAGGTTTTTATTTGACAGTTCCTGCACTGACCTCTAGGGGGAGGTAAGTGTGCTTCTGTTCCTGTCCCACTTGTAGACAGGGTAAATGTGGGTATTTGAGCTGCAGGTTGTACTTCTGTTTAAAATACTGTGCGACGGTGCACTCCATCGCCTGTCCATTCTCCAACTGCAAGGGAAATCTGCAGAAAAAATGAAAATAGATTTTAGAGGGATGGACTATTTTAGAGACCAAGTTCATCATGGACATTTTGAAATGCACCAGCGCGTTCACTGCCTTTGAGGGAATACTGAAATGTGAACTGATAAACCAATACAAGAATCTCATGCATTTCTGAACATGTTTGCAGAGGTCTTTTACATAATGCTAGTTTTCCCAATATGCCAATTTGCAAACTTTCCACAGTGATTTTGGTTAGACTGTGGTTGAATTTAAATATTTGAAAATAACATAATCAGCACATACACATAAATACTTAGTAACAATGACATTTTTTCCTTATATTTGAACTAACACCTTACCTATAATGGATACACTCAGCATGTATTTATGCAAATTATTGAAAAATCATTATTTGAAAGTAAACTCTACTTAACTCTGGGAAATGAAGATGTGGGGTTTCTGCTTAAAAGCATTATTCTGCTTACAAATATGGCCAAAGATTAAAACAGACATAATAAAGATGTGGGTGAAGTTCTGTAATAGTTTTCCTTAGTGCTAGTTTATGGTTAGCTTTAGCTCTCATGTTGCAACAATTTGTGGCTAGGTTTAGCGCTCACGTCTGGTGGCTGGCTGGGCGTCGTGTTACATTGCAAACTCGATACTTCCTCTTCATCTGACCGCAGTGTGTGACCTCCACTTTCAGACCTGAACAAAAAGAAACCTTTAAATGTAAATCTGGAAAGTTTAGAAGGCACATTATTAACACATTAAACCACATACCACCACCTACAGATTGCAGAGAATTCAATTTTCCGTGGACCTATATTTTTCCGTACATATTGTTTCTACATTTTTTACCTACTACCTACTTTTGTACTATTGACTGTATAATTAAAATGCTTTTAAACCTAATTTCATTTTTTAAATTCATTTTCAAAAATCAATCAAGTAAAAAATTTACCCACACTTAAATAAAAAAATACATAATACATCTTTATTTATTTAATCAGCCAGCAGTCACTTGTTTGTCTCCATGGAATGGTTATTGCTTTGCTTGGAATGTTCTAATGTATGGCAATAAACCTATCTATCTCCGTGGAGACAAGCAGGTGAGCCCACATGGCCAAAGTTAGATGTAGGCCATATCTGTGGAGAGACAACCCCCACGCAAAGAATGATAGTTTGTAAGTGTCTGTGTAATCCTTCAGTCGTCCAGTTATGATTTTTATAGCAAAAAAAAAACCCCAAACAAAAAAACACATGATGAAATAAATTCTTGATAGAGATGTTTAATGCTTTACTGTAGAACATTCCTGGCAATGCAATAGCATCTCCATGAAAACAAGCAGGTAGAAAATCATCTATTAGAAAGGTTGGGTTGAATTAATGTGTGTATCCCTTAGTCCTCACTTTAAAACTACAGCATTTTTAATTCATTTACAAAATTACATTACATATTAAAATATAATACGCAATTTTCCGATATTATAATGTAGTATCCGCATCAGAAACATACCTGGAGTTGTTTTTTTTCATTCACACATGTTAAAACACACAAATCCTGCAGATTTAGCCTGAGTTCTCTCAGACTCTCTCGTCATGACATGACGTGACATGACTCTCTCGTCGTGTCATGAAGTTTTCATCCTGCTCTCTTCTCTCTCATTTAAGGTCTGTCTCTCTTTTTAATTTTATGATGATTTATGTTTTGATTTGTTTATATTGTGATTTTAATGCATTTCATACTCTATTTAACAAAAGGTAAAAGATAACTAAAACCTAGAGAACTACTGCGTCATGACATCACAGGCTGGAACAGAGCATTTTGAGCTCTGGAGAATCAAGGGTTACTCTAACGTGTGAGAATGAAATGAAAGTATGGCCTGTTTCTAAGGAAGTAACAGCATCTAATATGGCTTAAAGCTTACAAGAGTCAATTCTGCACAATAAATTACCTTTAACAATAGCATTTTCTTTTTCAATTTGAGACAATAGTTGTCAGTTTTACACCGTACATGTTTTAGCCCCACTATGACTAATACAGACACATGGCTTTAGTTCATTTTGCATGTAATGTGATCTGGAATGACTCACTGCTGTAATACACTCTCCTGCCTCAGCTCTTTGTCAAATAACGGTAACTTCATTGTATTTTTTGCAGGTTGGATGCTCACCTCGTATTTCCTTTGTGAATTTGACGCGTTGGGAGTCGGTGAGGGGTTTAGTCTGTTCGTTTATATTCTGGATGTCCAATACTTCGCACATGAACTCAATAACAGGTTGGGCACGGTAAAACGCAGTGGCTGAAACTATAAAACAAAAACAAACATGCAATTATGGTTAGGATAGTTTAAGAGTTCACATTAAATCATCTTCATTTGGCTCTTTCCTCTGCATCCTCTGCTTGATCTGACCCTCTCCCCTGCTCCTTTGTTCTCACACCAACTAACTTCATGTCCTTTCTCCATATCCATAAATCTTTGGTCTTCCTCTAGGTGTCCTCTGTATCAAAGAAAAAAATCATCTCTATACCTCATATTCACTGTCCCTCTTCAGTACCGTAAATCCACACCATCTCAAACTGTATACACATGGCTCCCGCTATTACTACTACTATCACTACGACTATTACTATGACCACTACTCCTCTTGCCAAAAAAATGCCAAACTCACTGTATTAATTGCACAATAATTTCAGCAAGTCAATTATTATCTTAAACTTTAAATGATATAAACTCACCATCAATGTTGAGCATCATATTCCACATGGCAGGACGGACTGACTGATGGAACCCGAACCACACCTCTCTGCCGCCCCCTAGTGGATGGTAGTAGCCTTCAGGAGGAGAGAAGAACGATCGGCCCACAGGAGTGTATCTGAGGGGAAAACCCAGCAAAAACAACAGATTAACATTAACAGATTTCACGTTTTTGATGACCCGAGTCTGCTCGTTGCGCTAAGTCACTCTTCCTCAAGAGCGCTATCACAACACAATCAACATGCATCCTGCTAATGAAACGACTGTACATCATATCAGGTTTGTCAAGTTGCTGTGTACAGTTTTGCATCATGTTTTTGTATAGAGATATTATCAGAGTACGTCACATCCCGCCCTACTGTGCATGTCTCCTGCAGAAAGAGCCGCTGTCCTATCTGGGATCATGTCAGTGTCTTGTAGGATTTCAGCAGGTTTGACGCTCTCCGGGGGCGCGGGGCTAGGTGTGTCAATCAGGTATGAAAGGATGTCCGGCTACTGAAGTTTGAGACATTTCTTTTTATTCATTTACACACCCACTTGCATTTAACGCATATGGCCATTAAGACGTATCCCACTCACTAATGTTCATTTAGCATCATAATTTATTTTATCACACGGCGATAAACTGTTTTAGTGCTGACAACATTGCTAGTCAGTGTTGCAACTTCATGTTAAATGCACAGACAACAGCACTTTCTACACTCAGGCTGCGAGCGTATCCACTGTGTGGATAAACAAATCATCTGTCTATATTTATGGAGAACTGTGGGTGACGCAGGCTTGTGGGCAAAGCATTAGACAGAATCTTACAGCTAACCATAAGGAGAGATCACTAGAAGGCTCAAACATGCATCGATGACATCTACTAACATCTTCAGGCTATGTTTTTGATAAGTGAACCACTTTTCTTTTCTTTACATTGGTAGAAAGCTAAAATATATATATATATATAATTTTGTATACTACCACCCTCTTTAAATGCCATGGCAATGGCAATTTATAATCTGAAAATGTAAAAAGGCAGATGTGATTGCTTCCCAAATTCTCAAATTCTGCAACTCGTGCTACTCATTTCCACATGTTCAGAACACTTTAGTAATACTTTTCATATGCACGATTGTTTTAGTTCAAATCTGTTTGTACCTCATAGAAGGAAGGTGTCGTGTGATCACATCTAGAGCCTGAACTGAATCCTCCGGGACCTCATTCAAGTGGCCTGACAGCGCCTCCAGCAGCATCTGCAGTGAAACTACAGACACCCACTGCAAGGACACTTTAAACGTCTGGTCCTTCCCCTCTCCAGGAAGAGTCACTTCCAAGTCCACCTGGAAACAAGAGGAGAAGTTAGGAAGGTAATTGAAACAATATGGCTGACTGATCAGACACTGATCAGATTAACCATGAAGCCTTGTTATTTTCTTGATAATCATGAGCTCAAACGTACCCTGTCCCGCCCTATAGGCAGGGGGTGGGCTGTGTACATGTTCCTCTTCCCGTCGTATCCAGGCTGTCGATCCCCAAAGATCTGCATCTTAAAGTGCCGCACCATAGTGTCCACCACCTCCCTGACAGAAGCAAATACAGGAATATGCACAGGTAAGTACAAGTATTATTTCCAATTATTAAAGCAACAGTTACTTTCTGGAGGTGGTATTCCATGTTTCCATGGAAATGGAACATTAAAACCATACTTCAAATTATTCTCCGTGGAGGATATGTTTTATGCTCTAATGTGGAATATTACAGCTAAAGAAACACTTCCATGGAGACAAGGTGGAGGAGGCTCTCCTCCAGGCCAAGCAAGAGGGGAAAAAACATGCAACATTACTATGGACTTGCATCGTCACAAACCTCACTAGATGCTTCCAGTGTAATAAAAACAACCAAACAATTTGAAAATAAAATAACATTTTAGTTTTGGCTATGGTCAGGCTCAGATGGAACCAACATTACATGGTAGGACTAAACTAATCTGTTTTGCAATAATGTTGCATGCATTACATGTTGTGAGACACCACTCAAAATGAGTGTGAATTCAAGTCCATTCATCCAAATAATGTGGTTTGTAATGTAAATGTGCACATACTGCCCCAGAGTGTCCTTGTGTGTTCAGGTGAGCAGAGGTGACTACTTACCTGTTGACCCTCCTTGGGCGTTTCTCAGGTTTGATGTCGATGTCATAGTGGTACACGTCGATCTTTGGGATCTGGACCTGGAAGTGGTTTGCGAGGAGCCGGATGGGTTTTCCCACCGTGCCCAGGCCGGGACGTCGAGGAGGCTGGAATAGAGAGGTCGGGGCGGGCGGCCCTGGAACACAACAGGGAAACACAAAGTCAGGAATACAATAACACTGCATTAGGGGAGAAAATAACTATGTATTAGTTAATAGCCAGGTTTGTGAGAACAGGATTTAAATTTTTGACTGGGGGCCATACTGACAATAGATTTCTGTTCCAACTCAATAACAATAATCAGACATTTTAATAATGCATCAAAAATGTGCAAAAATGTGAGTGCATATGACTTGAAGCTCAACAAAAAGGTGATTACACATTTCTGTTTATATTATTTTTAAATCAGCTCTTTATTTATGTTGTTTTTAAAAGTTTTAACTACAAACTCAATATTCTAATATTGCATTTCTTTAATTAATTCAATTTAATTAATTTGACATTTGATTGAATTTTCCACCTTTACAATTAGTGTCGTTACAATACTAGAAGTTGAAGAATGTTAAGGAAAATGTTTTAAGTTATTAAGATAAAAAGCTAATAATTGTAAAACTCTTCAGGAGAGGTCAAAATGTTGTCCCATATACGGGAATTTCAGTAACAATAGTTGCAATACTATAGCTAACAATAGCTCAAATGAGTTTCAATACCAGTTTCAGTATTGATTCATATTTGGTTCTGAAAACTGTTGTAGTTTTTTGACACTTGATGAATAAATTCATTTTAAAAGATTTTATATAATTAATTATACATAACTGATAAACAAATATAAATAGCAAAACAATAAAAACAAACTGTCATAACCTTTACACCTTTTTACATTTTAATTCACCTTAGCATGTGATACAACTAGTTTCTACTGCTCCACACCAAACAGAGGGCACAGGTTAGTAGTTCACACCCTGGACCAGACACCCAGAGCAGACTATAAATCTATAAAATATTCAAACAGCACCTTTATCTATGCATGGAGTCTAACCCATAACCTCTTTTTTGAGAGGAGGAGACAGGATAACCACTCTGCCGCAGTAACGCAGAGAGGACATGCACACTCAGTTTGCAGAGATCAAGAACCTAACTCCCAACCTCCTTACTGAGAGGCAGAATGCACGTGATCTACCAATATTCAACAATCAAAGTATTTCGCTTTACAATCGGACAACCATCTTATAGAAATATAGTTTGGAAGGCTGCAAAATGAATCATAATTTGAATGGATGCACTTAGCAGATCTCAAAAAAGTTGCAACTGTAGAAATACATTAATTTCCTCCACAAACAATCCATCTTATTCTGCATAAAAACCGCTAACCCTGTAGTTTAAACATGTTTTGAAATGTCTTTTTTGTATTAGTTTGAGTGTTCTTTTTGTCAATTTTTCTGTAAGTGTTTAAAATCTGAACTTTATTAAAATATATGTTGCAAATGTAATCGCAATCCTCATTTTCTCCCTACATTGTTCAGCTCTTATATATTGTTTCATCCTTTAATCCCAATCTAATGCTCATTTGACATGAAATTCTAATTGTCTGAATGTAAATTGGAGGGGAAGCGACGCTGCTTTCTGAATGCGCTGCATGAGTGCGCGCAGTATGTTCTCTGGTCCACATAAAGACCATATGAATGCTCTGGACACACAGGGTCACAGTGGGACAGAGGGGGCGATGACCTCCAATTATCCCCCTGCCCCGCCCTTCTCCTCTCCTCGCCAACGCCACAGGACACCACAGACACCCCCACGCACCTCCCCCATTACTATATAAACACTATGCAGACACCCACGAGCAGAGACAGAGTACTAGAGGGGGCAGGGTAAGTGCAGGCATGGCAACTGAGGATGCCATCTTTAGACTGTAGGAAACATTAGGGAGATAAGACACAGTCTTCCCACAAGACGCGAGACTGGGTCCACGAGAACGAAATCTTGACATATTCGATAATAAATTGTGACACCAAAATTGTGAACCGAACAGCACAACTAATTTTTTATTTATTTTATTTATTGTAACTGAAGCAAAGCTTTTTGGAACTGCACAAGAAACTTGTAATGTTAATGGAGATATTAATTCATTCATCATTGTATTTATACAGCGCCTTTCAAGACACCAAATGCGCTTTACAGTTCAATGTCTGTTCACTCCACACTTCGTGATAAGCTTCTACTGTAGCCACAGCTGCCCTGGGACATACTGACTGTAGTGAGGCTGCCAATCTGCACCAACACTTACTCCACATTTATACCAGCAAATGCAGTGTCTTGCCTCAGGACACAATGAGAGTTTTTGCCATTGGCACCCATCTGTGGCACCTAGTATTCCCAGAGATTCTCCATCCAAGTACTAACCAGGCAAGAACTGCTAAGCCTCTGAGATGTGATGAGATGAGGCTTTGACAAGCTGGTATGGCTGCAGCGTTTATGTCTTCTATGCATCTCAATCTTTGACATTTAGAAGTAGTTGTGGTTTGCATTTGTTCTTTCCTGTTATGGACTTCGTAATGACAACTGTAGACCATTAAAAAGATGGAGCTTAGAGTGGAATGTTTTGAAATGGGACTGCTGAGTGATATACGGCTCTTAAGTACAGCAATATTGAAATTATTTTTATATACTTTTTAACACAATATGTTGAGTTAAATCTGCATGACTTTATTTACAAGCCAGACTGTCATACATTAAAATTTGATAAAACTAAGATTAAATCAAGGCTAATTTAGGACTTAGGGCTATTTTAGTTGACCTTCCTATCATGAATGTTTTATTGCTATTGCAAAAGTCAGTTCCTAGATTGGTTCAGTGCGGCCTAGTTATAAACATTCAGTCCATGATTTTATCTGTCTAAAGCACAAAAACAACTGGATTAATGATTTATTTTACAGGTAGTATTATAGCAGTAGGGGTGGGACTAGATCCCTCGAGATCAAATTGCCACGAGACTGTGCGCACACTGGAAAATCTATCGCACAAGATTTTATCCTCCGTCTTTACATTTGGCTTTACACCTCGCACATATTCAGATAGTTAACACTTTATACTGTGTCCCAGTGTTTTTATTTCATAGTGATAGGACCAATACTGACACAAATACTCAGTGCTTAAGTTGGTTAAAAAGGTTGTGAAATTATATAATCAAATATTCATTGTTTTTGAAAAAGAAATTTAGGCCTCCATCACGCATAATAACTTAGATTAAACTCAGAAGATAGAAGCACACGTCCTTTGCCTGCGTCCCTCTGCACTGTGCACATACAACACAGACAGCAGTGGGGGAGAGGGGGGAGGAGCTGGAGCAACACAGAACATAGAAGCAGATACAGTTTTGTCTAATCATTTATATGTTAAAATAAAGTTTAATAACATATTGTAGGCCTATATTGAATATATAGTAATAATCAGTGATGCATGTAGGGAAATGGTGTTTAATGCATCAAAAGCATTATGATGAAAATGACCTGATTTGGTCTTTTATAACTATCAAAACATAAAACCCATTAAAAACACAATGTATAAAGAAATGATGCCAATTAAAAATCATGACACCAAAATTGTGAATTGATCCGTTTATTCTAAATTGGTCAAAATCTCATCTCAATCTCGTGGACCCCATCTTGTGAAAATTCTGTCTTGTCCCACCCATATATAGCAAGTTATTATTTGCATTTCCAACTCACATTTTTGCAAAACGGGAAGAAAAGAGCATTTCATCCAATTTGTTTACAGTCCAAACATGGCGGCCAATGTGGATGTCTGCTCAGGATGTCCCTTCTACTACCACACTACCCCCAACGACCCCCTCCGCACAAACATCAAGCCCACTTACCCCACAGAGCAGACAGGGGCGGTGGGGGGCAGACACACACAATCTGAGCCATATGGACTGAGATTATACGTTACAACACGCGACAATGACTAAAGCTGATACATGCACATGACTAACCCTGGATGAACTTTAAGACAAGATCTCCACAATGCTCTTTTTATAGCCAAAAAATCATCTCAGAAAAGGTTCTCAAAAGTACTATATGCTTTTTTTTTTTTTTCATATTTGATGCCAAGTTTAAACAGAGAATTATGTACGTAATTATGTATATTTTCTGCAAATTATTGGCCTTTTTTACTTAAGACAATTTACTTTACTTTAATGAAAAGGTCTACAGCCAATCCTCTGTCAAACTTCGGGGGAAAAGATATGACAATTTATCTGTGAAATGACACGTGGATTAAACGTATTATTATTATTATTAAAAGTAAAACTTAATATAGAAAGACATTTTTATTCTTTCCTATAAGACAAAACATTACATAGAAAATCAGGACTGATTAATATAAGGAAAACATTTAGAATTTAGATACAAATAAAAGTGACTTGTGTTTATCCCCCACATTTGACAAGCCTCTAGGACAAGATGAAGAACCCATATGACACACCTCGTCCAGGTTCTAGACCAGGACTAGGATCAGGGAGGGTTTTGAGCGCGCTGTGGCGAAGGGTGGGGCTGATTGTTCTCGCGCTTCATCTGTTAAGTGGAGCGTTCTGGGGCACAGGGTTCACATGGACACCCCCAGACCACAAAGAGACTACACTTCCCCTCATAAATCGGCTTTTTTGTCTATTCTAAATATATTGCATCTATAGGCTCTAATATGATTCTCTCAAAGAGGACACTATCGAAAAAATGCTTCCTTTGTGACAATGACACTCTTTCAAATTTCAAACATTTTTTGAGAATAACCTGCTTTTAATAACATTCCAAGTGTATGTTAATTAATACAATGAACATTTAGTAGTTTTTCAATAATTTGGTCTTGAAAAACATTAAAACTGTAGTCATTCAGGGAAGTTCCATAGTGGTCCATGGGCGTATACTAGTCTATGTGCTCTAATACCGTATTTTCCAGGTTATTGGGGGCGCTCTTAAGCCTCCAACCCCATCAAAAAACGACTGCGCGCCCCGCAATCCAGAGCGCCCTATACACGAATCCACTCGGGTGTCCCAGCATGACTTCAGTAAACTACAAAGCCACACCACCTGCAGCGCACGCAAACACACACGGAGCAGACAGCGACCACACAGCGAA